AATTTGACAATCAAAACTTAAAAACAAATTGTACATACAATTACTATTTAGGTTAGACCATTAAAAAAGGTAGGGCTGTCTTAAAAACATCTTGTGTTAACCGTAAGAAGCATTTCTGGTTGAAAGTTGTTAAAAATGTAATTATTTTTAATCTACTTTGTGAAAATCTCCCTGGACTCTGGAATTGGGGAATGAAGCGATTCCCCTATCACTCCCCTCAAATTTTCCACTAAATGTGTTGGTGTTTTTTTAATTTTAAACGATTGTAAATATGTCGATAATTTAAAGCTATTGTTTATATAAAAAAAAAAACATTTTTTTTCACTTTAGAAATAAAACATCAACTTAGATCATTGACTTGTATTTTTGACATTTTTGTTGATTTTTAAGTTATCTTTGCTGCAAGAGGAAAAAACACGACTAATATTAATACTTTAGTATCATTTTTTGATCGTAATAATATAACGTTATTTTTGATATATACATATTATTATAAAATAAATTACCCTATAATAACATACCTTCCCAAATCCCATCTATATACAATAACTGTAGTCTATCTACGGTTTTATTATTTTAATAAATTATATACGAGTAAAAAAAACTGCTTGCATGACTACAATGCATTTTGATCATAATAATATTATAACATATGCGCGTATATTAAACTCCAGAACGATATAATAATAATTGCATTGTGTATGAATTTATAATTTAAAAGAAAATTGTACGAGCATATTGATGACGCGCTTTTTATGTGATCATATATACTATACGTCTATTATACCTGTAGATAATAATAAAATTAAACAAATCAAGACACCGTGCCGTCTATATTTAATATTATACGACCGACGACTGTGCTTGTTTTTGATCACATACCAGCGTCAGGTTAACCTACGGCAGCAGTGGTGTACTGGCGTGCCCAGAAATTTTCCATTGGTGGGGATTCAGCAAATAATTATCATAAATTAATTGTAGAATCTTCTTCTCTACCTAACTCGACAATGGACGTTTAAAATCCGAATCATATAAAGCCAATTTTTAATCAATAAATTAAGCTGTCCTGTGTAACTTAGTTAAAATAATATATCTACATTCTATATTTTTAAATTTTAAATTACTAAATAAATACTTAGTTCATGTATTTTTAATTCAATAGGCTGGGATATAACACCTGTTCACCCTCCCTCCTACGCACGCCACTACAAACAGTGGAGTGGCAACATTTTAAGGCCTCAAATTTGGCACTTAAAAAAAAAGAAAACAAAAATAAAGGTATTATTTTCTACCACAAACAGTTTTCTTAGAGATTTTTTTGAAAATTGATGTAAACCATCAACAATTAAACAAAGGTTACTTATTCATCTCCGAGAGAATACAGAAAACATTGATCTTTTTCTTATTATCTATATATTATTGTTACCATCAAACAAGGAGAACCGCGTCGTCATTACTTCCCACGGGCCGATATAAAGGTCGCTGTAAATTGCGTCTCATTTATAATTTTTTGTGGGCCGGGTATATTTTATATACACGTAAATTGCGGCCTGAGTATATTTTATACAAACATAAATTATACGTATACGACATTTTTTGCGAAACCAATATTTTTCTTCCCATTTGTCAAACTTAAGACTGGCAATATATTATTGTATTATCATTGGTATGTTTAAAAATATTGGTTTTGCTATTTTTTGTTCATAGGTAATTGAAAAATATATTATTAACAAGTAGTAATAAAATATAACAGGTAAAAACGTGTGTCATTGAAAAATGTATTATTCAAAATTTGTAATTAAGAAAATAGTAAAAATGTGTAAGATAGTGCATTTTTTTCAATTGAATAAAAATTAACGTTATAAAAAGCGAAAGGAATAAAACGTAAAAAGTGTTTGATGGATTCAAATTTCGTTTTCACAAATTTCTAAAATATTATTATACAATTATATTGCCAGTCCTAAGTCTGAAAAATGGAAAGAAAAATATATTATTTATTGAAAAAAGTTTTAAACATAATTTACGAATGAATGAAAAATATTTAGGTATATAATATTATACGAAATATACCCATTCATATATAACATGTTTTATGCCTACTATCTTTTTATATATATTCAAATAATTAATAATATTATATTACCTTAAAATTCATTTTAGTTAAAAATAACATATGATAAGGATAACGAAGGGGTGGCAAATTTTTTTCTTTTTGTATTCAAATCGCTTAATTCCAATCGCGGCTACACGTTATCTTATAATATTATACAATTTATTATTATGTATATAACATAATTTGTTTTTTTATATATATAATTTAGGAGCGGTTTATATAAAGATCGCACGTATACTTGCAGCAGTCTTGAAGCGTAATTACGACTACGGTGAATTCTCTTTTTAAATTTTTCGTATAATATAATGTACCTGCCTACTCTTTAAACTGCAGCCAGCCAGCGGGTCGGCCGTCTCCTCTTTCTTTTCCTCCGTCGTCGTCGTCGTCCTTACCCTTGACCTGACATTGTAAACGTGTTTTGCCGTTACGTCCCGCGAGTGCTAAAAAATGATTTTAAATAGTAATAGGTATATATGTATTCTACCCACACGCGTCAGCCGTCCGCTGGAGCAGGTCTCAGAGACGTATAGGTATAGTTATAGTCGTATCCACTCAACATTATTTTACATACTATACTTGTACCTATAATATACAGGGTGTTGCGTAATGGGGTGAATTATAATAAAAAAAAATATTCTGAACCAAATATAGAAAAAAAAACTTAGTTTATTGTAAGTATATATTATTATACAATGAAATTTTTATTTTAGTTAGGGTTTAAAAATTATATCTTTTAGATGTTAGTCTTGGTGAGTGATGTACGTATCCGGATCCGCTTTTGGAAGTTTCCCATCATCATTCTCTTTAGCGCCATGACCTCCTCACTTCTCTGTTTTGAATTCTTATAATATTCCTTTAAATGGTGATATTTCACTGAAGCTGAGGTTATAAATACCATTCTTTCTAATCGTCATAGAACTCGAGACCTTACGTGAACAAATAGCAGGAATTTCTCAAGATATGATGCTGAGTGCAGATGGAAAACATCCAGAAATGACACCATTATCATATTTGTATCACCCACTAAGGTCAACATTTAGAAGATATATCAATTTTTTAAAATCTAACTAACAATACCTTATTTTAATATGTGTACTTCCAATAAACAACAAATGTGTTTTTTTTCATACCTGTCTCCACCGTCTTTTTTTTTTTGAAATTTAATTCATAAATGTGTGAGTTAATTTCCTATGCTACACCCTGTATAATATAATATATACGTGTTTATCGGACGTATATAAGATTATAGATTAAAACAATTATTATTATTGTACGTACGTGTAGATGCCTACCTGGCCGGCTACCTATCTACCTACCCAACTATATAATATACCTATATACCGACAACAGCTACCTATATAATAATATAACACTGCATCAGCAGCCCGGACCGACGACGACGACGGCAATCGTATACAAAATAAAAAATATACTTATACGCGCACGCACTATAAAGTTTATATAATAATATTACACACGTTTCGTATAGATCGGATGCATAATTTTGTCTGACTATACGACGACGACGTTATTTTATATTGCGTTCACACGACGTCATTTTCTATATACTCGGCCAAAATATAGTATTATAGTAATAAATAAACCATTTCACGCGCGCGCCCGTCACACCTATACTTAATTCAAAAATTATACGCCTATATATGGGAAAAATCAATAGGATAACATTATCGTTGCGTCGTTATTATAATTTATAGTAAAAAAAAAAAAAAAAAACGAAATGTATTGTAATCATATGCCAACCGATATACAATTTTAAATCGCTATCTAGGTACCTTTACATATATATTATAAATGTTCGCTAAAATGTCATCCGTGTAACATAAGAATATACTTAACTATTATTACTATGCACCTATATTATATATTTACATACAGAGTCGTTCAGATTTTAACCAACGGCTGTCACTAACACGTTGTACTTACATATTTTACACAACTGCACGTAATCTTGTTTCAACGTTAATTAAATATCTTTTTTTTTTCAGTATTCTGTAACTTATGTACCTTTGGTTCCAGTGAAGAAATGGCTTAAGTAAATTTTAGGCGTTTTATTCTATAATTTTATCATATTTTCAAGATTGTTTTCTTTTTCTTTTTTAGTTTAAATGACGTATGTATAATATACAGGAATGCACTACAAAAATTAATGTATGTATAGTGTATTAAAGTATGTATTTTTAAAACTTAATTTATTTGTATTGAAAACTGTACAAAATTGACTTCATTTATGGAACCAAAGATACATATGTACAGGTGTTTAGAGACGTATTTGTGGATTCATTTTTAACAACCACAAGAGTAATCGGCTATTTTTCGAGTGAGAATTTTCGTGAAAATGATTAACAAACATATTTTTTAGTAACTATAGCTAAGCATAATAGAATTTTTTTTTAATTTCTAAAATGTGTTGCTTCTATTACTTACTTGTACGTAAAATATATCTATTTAATTTTTATCATTTTTTTTGTTTTGTTTTTACATGAACATTAAATAATATTTCAAAAATTAAATTTTATACGTTTCGGAATAATAACCCGTTTTTTGGTTAAGATTTAAATTTTCAAATGATTAAATGACTGAAAATAATTTTAAACTACTTATAACACCTGAAGATTATATTATATTTAAGAACCTATAGGTATTTACCAGCTACTGTTGCCTACCCATATTATTTTTTGAACGGCTCTGTATGTAATGAATAAATGATATGGGTACGTAAAATATTCTTGTGGTTAATGTATAATCCAATAAGAAACGTTCTAGAGAGAACAAAAAAAAAAAGGAATACCTATACGACTATTAAACTATATAGAGGTACTTCTTTATAATCCCACCACCTTAGGGTTCTCATCAGTAATCAGTGTAGAAACACGGGTGGTTTACGTACATTGTGCGTGGTTATAGTGGTTTTTTTTTATTATTATTATTATTTTTTTTTATAACATCCAAAATCACACATATACAAATAAAAGTAATAGTGTTTCTGTGTTTAGGTTATGGAAAAATCATTATTTTACTTTTTGGGCGTTTGTCTGATGGTTCAATTGGTAAATGATTACACCAGCAATTATACTGAATATGTGGTCATAGGAATTTTGACATCGTCGGCGCTTTGGTACGGTTACTGTTTTTTGATTAAACCGTTGAATATACAAAGGGTAATTAATGATTATTATTAATCATATACGAATACACAGCATATTATATACCTATATACTATATATTATATAAAATACGAAGACAATCGATCGATCGGTGTCCCGTATCATATATTATAAACAATAAATATTTTGTAAACACTTTATGCAGACGCGCACCTATTTTATTTTTAATATATAGAAATTAGCGGACGTGGGTTACGAAAAATACTTCACGGAAAACCAGTGGGTGTCAAAGGATAAATTACACCAAATACGTGCTATGATGAGACTCCGAAAAAAGGGAGCGTTACCACCCGTCTACCCTAACGGGTGGTTTGCACTCCTGGACTCTGACCAAGTCAACATCAACCAAGTTAAATACGTGGCGGCTCTAGGTGGGTATATTTTAATTTTTTTTTAAACATGCTGTAAAGTTTGAGGACAGGGACAATTCTTCACGGAGGGATAAAGGTGCAGTGTTGTATAAAATCCAAAAACGTTCTAAAATCATTATTTAAAATAGGCACTTGAAACATGAGGTAATATAAGTATCACATAATATTTTTTAGATATTAAAATAATAGTTGTAATAATTTGATTTATATATTATATTACCCGTGAACAGTATAACTCCGTCACTAAAGTTGAAATTTCCCCCAGCAGACTTGTTGTTATAATACTTCTCTATTTATTATATTTTTGTTTTGATTTTTAAATACATTGATATCCACTGACCACTTTTACCCTATTCCCTGCTCTATATCATGGTCTACTACAGTATTAACCATCCCATATGTTAGGTATAGGAAGTATCCTAAAAGAAATCATTCTTCCGATAACGATAAGGAATCGGACAAAAAAAGTTACGTCAAAATAGGTAAAGCAGTTCTTGAGATTTTTGCTAGCATATAGACAGTGGGAACAGAAGTTGAAAATTCAAACTTTTTAAAGGGAACATACTTGATATATATCAAGACATAAGACTTATACATCCTTAACTACAGTTATATTTATATATACACATTTTAACCATATTAATTACTATGATGAGTCTATAGGGATATTTAAAATCAGTATTTCCTGTGAAAACATGAAATTTATGTATATGATTAGTCGAGAAGAGGTATGAAAGCTGAAACCACACCAAAAGGCACATCATTAGTACACCATACATACAAAATGTTATCCTCCTAACTTCATTTGGGAGACTAGAAATGTATAAAATAAAAAAACACCATTCTTCCACAAAAGCACGGTGAAATTCATATTGAAACATATCACTTCAAACCATTTATAAATAAAACTCCAATTTCTGAGTTTGAGCTCATTTTGTCCAGAAAGAGCTGCTGAAAGTATCCAAATGTAACGAACAAATATATATAATAATATTATATTGGGTAATCATTATAAAATATATAGGTAACATTTATTACATTAATGTATAATATATATAAAAGATATGTGGGAAATTCATCGAAAAAACATTCTGGTATAGTAAATTTTCCAAAAAAATGATATTATAATTTTATACATTATATTATAATATAGTCGATTGGTACCTATAGCTATTACAAATGAAAATTAACTACATGTTTAAAATACAACATTTCCTATTTTTGCCCTTTGTCATGTTTTAAGCAGTAGCCGTAAAGAGGAAAAGATTTTTTCTGCGTCGTGGCTGTAATTTTAATATTAACAATGTAGCTAAAATTTAAATGATGTGAATAAAGTATAGTAAATAGAATCAAAATGATTTAATATTTCGTGAGCAAAATTTAAATTTAGAATCTTAAATTTTAGATACCATTCTTAATCTCTGGAACCAAACACATATAATACATATTGATTCGATGTTTATACCAATATTATACTCGTGTAACCTTAATAATTATAGTTTTTAATATTATAAAAATTTAAAATTTAAATTATTTCAGTTAATTAATTTACTTAACTAGTTTTCATTTGTAGGCGAAAATTTCGCAGTATTTCGTTCGTCTTACGGTGACGTCAACATATTGAATGCTTATTGTCCTCATCTGGGGGCTAATATGGCTGTTGGAGGGATAGTCAGAGGAAACTGTCTCCAATGTCCATTTCATGGATGGAAATTTGACGGTAAAGACGGAAAATGTGTTGAAATACCAAATAATGGTTCAAACGGTAAATAATTTTGTTACTTTTCACATAGTATTTTATACGTAGGAACAATGTATTATAGGTACCTATACAGAGTGTTTCACAGAGATATATCGATTTTGATATTTCTGAAATTATAAACTTCTTCGGAATTTTTTTTTTAGCAATTTAAGAAATAAGCAGCTCTCAAATTTTACATTTCTGTGATTATTTACCACCTTTATTTTTGGAGATGAAACGATTACCTAATAAATACAAAATTAAGTGTGATCACAAATAATGGAAACATACAATTTTAAAGCTATTAGACAAGATTTCCAAAATGTTTTTCTTTCATACACATTTCTTCAAAAAAATATTATACTAATAAGATTTATAAATAAATCGTACCTTATCCTTGAATATTATACCATGCATATTTTTGCTCAATAAAAATTAAGCAAAATAGAGTCTGAATACATAGAATCTAATAGGTATTAGATAATTTATTTTTAATAAAACTAATTTGAGTTTCAATAATTTCATTCAAAATACCTCAGTGACTCAATAACCAAAGCGTCCCACCGAAATTCGAAGATTTAAGCTAAACATTTTAAACTGATCATTTTACCTTAAATAAGAAAGGGAGACTCCGTCCTTCCACTTTAACCACTGGCAATAAGTATATTTTCACAAGCACCGTGTAAAATTGCATATACTACATAAATATATTATATGCATGCAGTTTTACCCAAATCATCGGTAAGAAAATGGCAATCGCACGAGGCCAATGGATTCATATTTGTGTGGTATCACGTAGAAAACGAAGAGCCTTCGTGGTATCCGCCCAGAGTAAAAGAGATTAGCGAATGGGCGTACCGGGGTCGAAGTGAACACTATGTAAACGCTCACATACAAGATATTCCTGAAAACGGCGCAGACGTTTCCCATTTATCAATGTTACATGGCGATATGGCACTTGGTGGCCAGTATGCTGCACAAGCAAATACGTCCTTGTGGAAAATTGTCGGCACCCATAAATGGAAAGCCGCGTGGAAGGTTGAAGAAAATCAAAAACACGTGTCTATACTTGACTTAGAACATAAACTAGAAATTTTAAAGAAATTTACTGTTTTCAAAATGAACGTCGAAGCACATCAGGTAAGCACCCGAAATGGAATTACCATTCCATGCAAGTAACACACTCAGCTACTATTTTCCCGTTTTAAACCTATAGCTAACAAAAAAAAAAAAAAATTACCAAATATTTCAATTATTGCTTGATATTTATATAAGTTACTTGATACTATAACGTTGATATCGTTTGTTGTTATATTTTTAAAATTAAAAATAATGTAATAAATAACAAAAAATATCATTCAACGAAAATGAATATTGGGATGGGATAAGACTGCTCTAATGAAAAATGGCATGAATACAGTGATAATGATACAGAGACCAGAAATGTTCATTGAATAGGTTACTTACCTATGTTAATATTTTCTATAGAAGTGGACGTGTGGTATGGTTTTCGAAATATTCCGGCACGTATAGCTTATAGCTATATATTTAACACTTTTGAAAACATTGTTGGTTTTATGTGAATAACATTTTGTTGGTTTCGAAAAACTATCGACAAATTTGAAACAAGGCTTAAGGTGTATTTGTTCGTAAAACAAAAAGTTGAGCGTAATAATAGATAGTTCATGTATTTATTTTTTCTTGTGTTTTAAGTTAAAATTTATGATAAAATTCATAAATACCAATTCAATTTAAATGTTTGAACAAAATTAATCAAATTCTGCTTAAAATAATTGTTTGTTTGAATAAAATAATTTATCGATGATTTATCGATGCATGCATAAAATATCTATATAAACCAAATCACCAAGGTATAGTATGTAGATACTTATATCCTACCTAACTTTCCACTTATAACCTCATTCTCTGATTCAAATAGGTACTGGTTAATACGATATTATATAATACGATATACGTATATAATACGATACGTATTATTGAATAATATTATATCATGCATACAGTATATACAAATAATAAAATAGAAAAACAAATACAATTTGTTGGTAATAATTTATTTCGTTGTATCCAAAAAAACATATTGCTTAGTTAATTAATTATCTATATTCCATTTCTGCTTTTCACCTTTTACTGGTATCAAACAAATTATTTTATCGATTATTTTGTTAAATTTTAATAATTACACATCTATGAGAAATAATATTTGTTTTTAAAATAAAATGTTGATTAATAATATTCATAATGGTTTATAATTGGTCGAATTAAGTTTGTTAAATAATCACTTGATGGTCAACATTGAATGAATTGAAAATCGGAAACTTTTTTGTAGCACTTTTAATCTTGTTATTAGTTTGTTACCTAAGAAAGTCGATTTTTGATTTTCTCTGAAGTTATTTTAATAATTTAGCAAAACTGAAAAAAAAAAACATAAAAAGAACAGGAAAATTGCTTTCCGATTTTTTCCCAATTATTTTGAAAACCCCTAAAAAAAAAATCCAAAAATTACTTCTTCAATGTACCATCTAAATTTCAGAAAAGGTTCTACACCCTTTCATTGGAGAAAGATTTTTTTTTGTTCAAAAAGTTGTTCACAGACAAAAAAATACATAAAACTACTGGTTTTATGTATTTAAAGTAATACTCCGTTTATTTATGGAATTTTTAATCTAGGTTATTATTTGAAAAACCAAAGTATCACCACAGGTTGTGAAAAATCGAAGTATTAAAAAATATCGGCTTTAATTACCCTTAAAAAAGAGCCGTATTTTACGCCCTTCTCCATCCCCACATATAAATCATCTTTTCAAATTTTTTTTTAGTTATATTCCTTTATTTTTATATCATTTTAGATTCTGAGAAGAGCGAAGAAGCTTATATGGTTTTTCAAAGATGTATTTTTTTCTGTGAATTACTTTTCTACCAGTGAACTAGCTCCGATTTTTAATTGTAGCACTTTTTCTTATAGGAAATCAGATGGGAAGGTATTTTAGAAGGGTAACTTTTCGATTTTCTCAAGGTTCTTCCCAGCAAATGTGAAAAACCAGGAAAAAACATGGGAAAACCGGGAAAATCCAGAGGTCATTAAATAAATTTGATTAAAGATAATTTATAACACCTATTTAATTATTTGACCATAACATGATATGTATATTGTTGACAAAGCATCACTATCAACTGAATTTCACTCAGAATCGTAAATTTTCATAAGTAGTTTTCCTCTTTTCTAAATCCAAATTTAAATCTGGTCGAAAATTAAGAAATAAGTGTTAAATTTGAAATGTTTGAATTTATCATCAAGACATATTTCTAACTATTTCCTTCGTCAAAAAATCGTTTACGTTTTATTTTACGTTGGTTACTTGTTCTTAAACTTAAAATTCCACATTTTTTAATAACTCGAGTTTTATAGTCGTTATACATGCCATCACAACGATTATATGGATATATACAGTGACGTGCTCAGGAAATATCAATGGGAGTGTATGTAGTAAATAAGAATCGTGAATAAATCGTAAAATCCTCTTCTATCTACTCAACTCGATTATGATAATTGGTAATTTAAAAGTCGGATCATGAAAAAAACCAATTTCCAATCAATGCATCAATCTTTTCTTCGTATAGGCTGATATATGCATTTCAATAATAGATAACACATATTTTGTTTGTATTTTTAAACAAATGGGGGGATATAACCCCAATCCTCCCCTCCCCTTAAGCACGCCACTGGATACAAATTAATGAATTATTGAATTATAGAATATAATATATCTTAGACCGTGAGGAAAACAAATAAAAATAATGATAGATGATAATAACAATGTAAAACCTTATAATTAGTATAAGGCATGAACATATATACTGTTAAAGACTGGCTACTGCTCGACCAGTGTAATTAGCTTATTGTCGCAATTTCAATAATAATCCACTATAGTGCGTACGCCTTACGGCCGCCAATGTAGAAACGTAGACGAACAAGTAATGATTCTAAATTTGCTAACTTGTTATACAGTAAATTACAGTTATACAATTAATGTATTTTCACTTTTTCAAATAAAATAGGAGTAATTATTATAATCAATTCTTTCTTAAAAATAAAAACTGCTATCTATTTTTTCAGTTTATAGCAAAATATGTTGTACCTAATAATTAGTTGAATATATAATTATTAATATCTTAAATAATTTATCCAAACCAGGATTAAATGAACTATTTTATTAATGTTGTCATCAGATATGGTATGATAAAATAAAGGTACATATTAATAAATCAGAAAATAAAACTAGGAGGTGTATAGTTGAAAAAAATGTCAACAAAACACAAACTATCGTATTGAAGCATTAATTTTTTATATTTATTCTAAATTATAGGTACCAGAAATTAAAATTGTGAAATATAATCAAACAATTCTATTCTTATTAGTAATTGTTTTATTTATAAAAGTTAACCACACTTATTTATACTGCAGCATCACCAGAATATATTATAATTTGTATGAAAATGTAACAATAGGTACATATAAATTAATATAACATATTATAACATTATGAATGCAGTGTAATAAAAATAAAATAAATAAAAAATAATTGTATATTTCATCTTAAAATAAAAAGATATATGTAGTATGTTCAAAGTTAAATGATGCTTAACTTAACGTAAATTTTGAAACTTTTTTTATCATACCTACACACTCTTTTAAATATAAATGGAGTAGGTATTTCAGTTGGCTGTTTTTCTATTTTAAGAGAGTAATAGAAAAACATGAGTTATTCTTCAATAACATGTCTATTTCAGCCTTAAATGACAATAGTTGGGTATTATTTTAAATAGTAATTATGTTTTCTTGATTAATAAGATTACTTTTTTTTTAATATTATCAGGATTTTTCTCAATAAAGGTGGTTTTCTAAGGTGTAATGGCCTTGATAGATATTTAGGATAGTTTAGGAAAATAGATGGCACTGTTTTTTCCTTAAGAGGAGGAATTTTATATGATGCCTGTAGGGAACAAACCAATAATAAATTAATTCAAATAAAGTATAGGTAATATTTATTTTTTTATTTCTTATTCGTCTACCAAAAATTTAAACACTAGAATTTATTTTAACTAATACTCCATCTATTTATGAGTTTTTTATTATAGTTAGCTATTTACAGTGGAAAAATGGTATTTATTTACACAGGAATCGTAACCAGATTTACATCCTGAAAGACACATCTGTAATCCATCATGTTTAGTTTATTTAATATTAACAAATTAAAAAACAAACTAGATTTTCATAAAATTTCAATTAGAATGTTCGGATGTTCTAGTTTGTTGCGATATTGTTGGGCGCACGCATATGTGGCGCTCCTAGCGGAATTTCTCTGTTATGGCGACAAGCGAATCATATTTTATATGGATGAGATAGCTGAGTGTAGCCCCGGTCTATGATAATATCACGGTTGTTTATCTACAAGACTACAATAGTACTTTATAATAAAATAATATTTATATTCTATGATATTAGTATTATGACTCATATAATATGGCCGTACTGCCGTAGTAACATTATCACCAATCTTCTTAGATCGTATTGTTACTGTGTAAGTATCGCTTAGACTTTGAAGATATAAAAAAAATTAAAAATTAAAAAATGTTTTATTAAAATATTACACCGCACTACAGCGGTGCCTGGCCGCCTCCCTAAATAGACCAAAATGTTGACACCCGGAGTAAATGCCCCCATTACCCCCTTCCTCCTTAAATAGAGCCCTGGAATACATTTATTATTAATCATTTTTAACTGTACGCAACGATAAATTATTGCTCACGAGAAGCTATTCTGCCAAGCAATAACCGAAGTTTGGTTAAATATATTTTGAAATGCTGTGATTTTTACAATATTTGTTAAAATTTTAACCTATATGACTATTTAAACAAAACACTACTACATTACACTCAACTTTTTTCTAACCATCAAGTACAACTTGTGGTAAACCACGAAAGGTTGTTATAGGAAAACTATGTTTAAGAAAAAATAAAAAAAAACTACTTTTAGGTACACCATACACAGTAATAGTTCTATTCTGTAATAGTTACAATTTATTTTCAAAAAAAATGTCACTTGAAACCGTTTCTAGCAGAATAGTTTTTTAATGTTTATAGACAAAAAAATCCATAATAATAAAATCACAGAATAATGTATTCAGAATCTAAAAGTAGGAAGACTTGTTTAAGTTTTTTTTTTTTGGGAAGGGAAGAGGTCCACTTTAAAATTAACAATTGTAACTAATTTTGATACCTCTCAATCTTTTAGTAATTCAATTATAAACTCCCTCTGTCTATTCGACACTGGAATTCTCATCAAACTATAGGTATATGCACAATTAGACGTCAAAATGAATAAATGTTACTGCTGTCATCATCACTGTTAAAATGTCAGTTGTTATACTACACACAGTAATGTGGTACTATAAATTATAATTTATACAGATGTATGATAACGCATTTTCAATAATTAGGAATTTGAGAACTATTAACTGTTTAAAGATTTTTCAGCTTGAGGTACAAAATTTAAAATTTGTCTTTAGCCCATTCATATCTCATTAGCTCAATTCTGGCCTATTTTAAAGTTAATTTTAATTTTTTTATAGATTGGTCCTGGATTAGTGGTTTTAAATTTTAAAACAAGTTTTGGACCAATTAAATTAATACAAGTCGTCACGCCCGTAGAGCCAATGATTCAAAAAGTTGTTCATCGTATCTACTGCCCATTATATTTGTCACTTTATGGTTCAATAGTTTTATTCATGGAAGCCTTAATGGTAAGATCTAATTATAGTTATACATTTTATATTTGAGAGGAGCAAGATATTTTGTAGAACATTAAAACTCTAGAACCCTACACCTGCGTATGCCACTGTGTGCAATGTTACAATTTTATATTGTTATATTATGGTAAAGGACCTATTCTTCTGACTTACTATTACAGGAATATATTATAAATGTTTCATTTAAGTGGCTACATTTGATATTTCGAAAAGTATTGACTTTTTTCAAAACAATTTTTGTTTTTTGACAATTTAAAAAATAAGGATCTCCAAAATGTTACAATATTATTTTTTGTCACTTTCGTTTTTGGGAGTTCAACGACTACCTACTTTTGATTTTCAAGTAGGTAGCAACCTAAACTAAAAATTTCATAAATAGGTATATATAATAAGTCTATTAGTTTAAATACATTTTGGTGTTGACATTTTTGATTTCCGTAAACCTGTCGACGAGATATTCCACTTGTTTGGATAAGAGGAAAGTAGAACATCATTTGTGTGGCATTACAGCACGTGATGTTTTATTTATGTCCCGTTAAGAGGACATTACACCCGTGTGTGCTGTCTCGGTTCAACTAACAGGCAGTATAGCAACATTTACCTTGCAAATTACGTAGAACTTGTTTAATTTTGGTTTTAGAGTAAAAGTACCAATTATAAAATTAAAAGATTATTCCAAAGGGCAAGACAGTATGTTTCTTTTTTTAAACATTAGAGTTGTTTAAAAATAACAAATTAGTCTTTATTTATAAATGATGTATTGAACGTTATATTCGGAATAATAATTAGAATAGAAAAAATAGCCTTGACCACTGGAATATTGTCCTCTTTTTAATTTTGTAAGTGATTTTACTCTAAAACCAAAATCAAAAGTTATACACAGTCTACGTAAGATAGATTTTGTTATATTGCTTGTTATCTTATTGTGTTTTAAGAAATTACACTAAATTAATAATTTGTTTAAATTACAGTTTGAGAGAGATGTAGTTATTTGGAACCACAAGACTTACATTGAAAAGCCTTTAGCATCAAAACAAGAAATAACCCTTTTAGCACATCGGAAATGGTACAAACAATTTTATAGTAATAATAGCCATAATTTTAGCTTTAGAAAAGAAACAATGGATTGGTAAATGAATTTGTATTTTCTATTCCAGACAAGTTAATATGTAGTAAAATATTTAAGTGAAGATATAATGTTTTATTTAAGAAATATTAAGTTGGAAACAGCTAAATATTATAATAATCTTATAATATAATAAATTATTTATCTATCGCTTGATTGGTTTAGTTTCTTTTTCAAGCCAAGTTAATGCTCTTTTATCTTTTTCTAATAATGGTGTTAGAGTTTCTAAACACTTGCGATGGTATTCATTTAAATAGTCAATCTGAAATAGTTAAAAATAATATTAAATATATCACTGAAAATAAATATTTCATTTTTTAATGTTATTTATACTTCTTTATCGGTGAGCAAATCGATCACCAACATTTTAGTTTGTATTGGGCACATTGTTACAGTTTCAAATTCTAAGAAGGATTTGTGTGACATTTTAAATTTAGTCGTTGAGTCTTTTATTAACACTATATCTTCTATGCGAACACCAAAATCATTATCATAATATCCAGGCTCTATAGAGAAAATATGTTCAGTTTTAATACACTATTGTTTATTTTATAGAATGTAAAATATTACCGTTTGATAAAAACATTCCTGGTTGTAATCCAGGATCATTAGGTATTTCTCTCCAAGATATTCCCATAGGTCCTTCATGGACATTTAAATAGGAGCCAATGCCATGTCCAGTACCATGCATGTAATCTAAACCTACGTCCCATAAAAATTTACGGGCATAAGAATCTAAACAATTTCCCTAAAAAATAATAATTATAATAGCAGAGCGTTTTTGTATACAGAAAAATATTATTTTACTAGAATTTTGTGAGGAAATTTGCTCATTGCTAAATTTGCTTGACCTTTAAAAACTCTTGTGAAACATTCTTTCTGATAATCAGTTGGTATTCCAAAATGTAATGTCCTAGTTACATCAGTTGTACCATCTCTATATTGATAAAATAAAAATATTTAATAGCAAATTTAAATTTAATAATCATGTGAAAAAAAGATCATATGGTCAAATTCAACAATCATACTTACAAAAACTGACCGCCAGAATCACACAAATACATTTCATCAACACTTAATTTTCTATCAGTTTCTGGATTTGGTGAATAATGAATGATTCCACCATGAGGTCCAGATGAAGAAATTGTTTCAAAACTTGGACCCACAAAGTCTTCTTGTAAACTATTAAAATCATTACAAATAGATATAAAACAAATTTTTGCAATACATTTTTTTTTTTTTTTTACAATTTGTTAGAAATGTCTATCATGTAGGAAAAGAAAAACTATACATATTACATTAGAATTTCTTTTTAAAGGAAACATTTTTTTCTACACGATAATACTTTGTATGATTACAAATCTAGAAATATTTTACAATGCTTACATTTAATTTTTAAGTTATGGACATTTAATATTAGTAATAATCCACTGTACATTATGCATGACTTTTGATTATTTACCATGACATTAGGTTTAATTACTGTTAAGAGAGAAAGAAAAGAATTTTAAGTTGATTCCACTAGTGTTTAATATTAACAATTATCGTGGTAAATTTAAAATGTTTAATTTAAGCGTTTCAAAATAAATTATAATATGAGACACCGAAAAGAATTAGTGTGTATATTTTACTTTAAAATGTTTAATGTTTTTAATATAACTTGTGTTGAACAAAGGTAAAGTTTAATATTTATGTATTGCAATTTTAATTATGTTATGTTAAATGCATATCAATAATGTTTACAATTTAAAGCAATAAAAGTTTGAAACATAATTAATATTACCTTCTAAATGATAATAGTTTTTCAGCACCTGATAATTCAGTAATATTTTCTGATGATATGTTTTCCTCTAACCAAGCAAAATATGAACATAATGCTGCACCATCTTTAACATGGGCATTTTTAAGACCTTAAACAAAATGCATTAAAATTATTCGTTTAAATATCAAAAATTATATTAAATTATTTTTACCATTAATTTCAACAGAATTTTTAATAGCTTTCATTAGAGGAATTGGTGTTGGTTTAGAAATACGATTACACTTAGGTACAATGTTAACTAAGTTATAACTAGATCGATCTGATACCCAAACTTTTCCAGTTTTACTGTTGTCTGATGCTAACTGAAGTAATACACGTGTCAATTATGATAACCCATTTCTTTGTAAACACAAACTTTATATATTATAAAAATTAATTCAAAATAATACTTACAATATCATTGAAAAATGTATGTAGTTTGTCATATGGTTGTACAATAACACCTACATTTTCATTTTTAAAATGTTCTGTTACAGAAACATCTAGTTTTTTATTATCAACAAATAAATAGACATCTGTATGTGTAACAATTACATATGAAAAAAATACTGGATTGTATGTAATGTCTGATCCCCTTAGATTTAATAACCCTGTTAAAATAATATACAAACATTTAACATAATATGTTTACATTTTTAAAAATGTAATTAGTTCACTATTTGTTAAGTTCAAAACTAATCTGACCAAAAATAAATAGTTTTTTATTTTTAATTGTTATACATCCTAATATATTAAAATATCACTTACACGCAATCTCATCTAGAGCTGTTATCAACAAAACAGTAGCATTTTTTTCAGTCATTTTTTGTCTAACTTCTTCTACTTTCTCTCCACATTTTTTACCTAGACAAGATAGATGGTTATAATAGTTATAAATAGTTTAAACAAATCATCAAATAAAAAAAGTGCTATGTAGTACCAGTAAATTTAATGCTCAATGGTTTTACTGGATTTGACGGAATAGCTGGACGGTCAGACCACATATGATCTATAAGATTGTTATCTAATGGGACTAAATTAATGCCCTTGTACTTGATTTCTTTATTGATTCTACGCCATTCACTGTAGGTTATTAAATTTGCATCAATTCCAATTCTAGAGCCGTTCTTCATATTTTTTGATAGCCATTCACTTAATGTTAATGTATCGGGCAATCCTAAGAATAAAATGAAAACAACTTTTAATATTTTCAAAGAAGTTGGACCGGTTTAAATTCTGCACAAAAAAGGGAAAAGATTATGTTAGGTATTTTAAATTCTGTACAGAGTGAGAAACATATTTTTTTTTGTGAATAACTTTTTCATTAAAACGATTTTATAGGTATATATTATATACAAACCCATTTTCATTAAAGTCCAATTTTCATCTAATTGCTGTTGAGCTTGAAGAAAGTAGCGGCCATCTGTCCACAATAATGCATCATTTTGAGTAATAAGAGCTAATCCAGCTGAACCAGTGAAACCAGTGATAAAAGATCGACGGGCATCACATTCAGAGATATATTCGTTCTAAAGATATAATTAAATAATAATACACTTTTATTTTATAATTATTATTGGTAATATTAAATTACTTGATGTGCATCTTCTGATAAAACAATATATCCATGAATTGGTTCTCCCAAATATTTTAACTTCATTAAGTCTCGAAGTCTTGACAAAAGAGGACCAGTTGAACGCACAGCCATGACTCTATAAATGTTGAGTACACCAAAAAAGTAAAAATAAATTATATGCTTCCAAAGCATTATTATAATTTATAGACTATAAAATAAATAGGAAAATAAAAAGTTTACTAGCACTATTAACTGTCATATGACATATTATTTCGTATTTAAATGGACACTGGTTTAGTTGACACTAAAATAAGAAGTATTCTTCTATTAGGTAGGTTTAGTTGACACCCACCCAAGAAGTATATTCTCCCACCAGTCAGGTTTAGTTGACACGACACTTATACATATACTTATCTCATATAAAAATAAATGGTAAATATGTTAGGTATGTAAAAATATGAAATTAATTTGATACTTTAAGAATAATATTTAGTAAAAATCTTAATACTAAAATTAACAAAGCAATAAGAAACGAAGAGAAACTTTCTTGATTCATATATTTGATAGTTTATGTAGCGAAGTGGATTAATTGCACACGATATGTATACTACAATACCGAAAGATACATTCAAATTTTGGCCACCTGCATAATTTAATGTATTTTTAAATTTTTACGATTTATTAATTTATTGGTGGTGGCGTCAATTAAAACCAGTACTTAGTTATTAAAGTAAAATTAATTTTGGTTGAGTAATATAATATTGCTATACCTATTATGGTGGTTAAAATTTCGTAAATGTATAATGAATAAAAACAGTAGGTATCGTGCAATAATCATATTATGTACTCTGTAGTTAGACAGAAACGGTTCTACCTCCAACCTTAACCTATTTCATCCATTATATAATTTTATATCTATACAAAACAAACAAATGCTCGTCTTTGTACTATAAATTATTTGAAATGAAGACGATATCTACCTATCAATAACTTGTTTTTTTTTTTCAGTGGGTACTTGAGTAAAAAGTAAAACCGTCTGAAACTAATGTCTTTCCAAAACCAGTTTGCTTAAATAGTTCATGTTGATATTTTTTTAAAGCAGTTCTTAGTAGGTAATATAATAATTTGTGCCAACAGAAGTGGTCAGATACGGTAAAGTCTAAATTCTGCGATTTCTGAGGTATTAAGATTTAGGTACCAAGCCCATATTGATAATTCCACAATTATAATACACAAAATTAATACAAATGTAACAAAAAAATAAAAAAATACAAGTACTCTCGTTTTTATTCGGTGAATCATTTGAAATCGAAAATAGTCCGTCGAGGATTAAAAAATATTAAGTTAAAGAAGCAGTGACCCTTACTCCTATTTTTATATCTTTTTCACCATAGAGAAACCTAGGTCTTTTAAACTGCACGTTGTGTGGTTGTGACCATACATTGAACTTTAAGCTACCCTTCCACTAAAAATTGTGTTCACAACTCAGAAGTACATGTGCAAAGCAAGTATACAATATTGTACTCAATGTGAGTACGTAATTCTCGAAAATTCATTAAACCTCATAATAAAGTCGATTTGATTTCAGAGTCAAATATCTAACCCATTGAATAAGACCGATAATATTGAATTATTTTTAGCCAAATTTATTTTCGATTTAAAACCAAGTATACCTAGTATTCCTACAGCACTTCATTAAAATAACATTGTTTTATAAGTTTTCGAGTAAGTAATTGTCTTCTAATCTGTGGTAGATACTTAACCAGAAATAACCAGCAAATAATATAAATAATTCGCCAACATATATCTTATCTCCTTTGTTTGTATTTTGTACTATGTCTATTTAAATCATATAAATGCGGAAAACACAGCTCTGTGGTTATGATAGCCAATATATCTGTCTATATTAAAAATGTGCTTTCTTAGGTATTTTTATTTCTAGTCGTGGAATTCCAGTATTCTACCATTTTGTTGAATATTTTTAATGATTTGGTTTTAATTAGTTCTCTAAAATTTTTTGTGGTTTTATGTTAAATTTATATAGAATAAAAAATAATACAAAAAACGTAATCATTAATAAGATAAATTTAAGATAGTGAATATAGTGAAACGGGCTATGTATATGTATAGCACTGAAACTATACCATATTATATACGTTCTGGAAGTCAACATTTTAAACAAAATATGATCCATAAAAGTGTACCTAATAAAAATCAGTATTACGAGGAGGTATAATATTTCATATTTATATATAATTTTAATATAATAGAAGATTAAAAACAATTGTTTTGTAGCATTTTAAATTAATATATTAATATTCAATTGATTGTTACAGAAAGTATTTTCATCAATATCATTACACTAGGTTTATAATAAATAAAAGTTATACAGGTTAAGCGACAAGTTGAATATTATGTAATATTAAAATAGTTGACTACGTACCTTGTGCCAACAACTGTTCCTAAATACAATACAATTAACAACTTTCAATTACTTGTAATAATTATCAACTCATTTACAACGTCAAAATAATGAAATTATTTTTACTACCTACGTGGATGCAAGAAATGATTATTGTAAGTAATATCATTCGTAGTTATAACCTTATCGGTTGCATTATCGCATTTAGGCAACCACTTACCACTATAGCAAAGCGCATGCTCAGAAAAATGGTTTCAACCTCGGTCTAAATACCCGTGTTGACCGCATACCGTAACATGACAACACTGCAGTCACAATTTAGATAAAAAAGGATTTTTCGTATTTCAATCGTGTTTTGTTTTGTTTTAAAACATTAAATGTAAAATGAAAGGGTTTCAATTAAAATTCTCTACCATTTAGCTCATCGCAAGTGGACCAAGTACTCGGGGACCTTTGTTGATAAATTCTGAAATACAGGTAATTTATACGCTTTTTGGTCAAATTACAGCATGTCTCAATGAGGTTATGCATTTGCGGTACATACAATCGATTTGATTAGAATTTATATATGTGCCATAAGCATATCGTTTACGTGCGCAAGTGTGTGTGTGTATGTGTATGAATGTTTTTAGTTTGTATGTTGTTATTTTTCAATAAAGTGGGATCAAGAGCGTCCTTCAAAAATATATTTTTTATTATTATATCTGCTTTTCTTCCGCTTTAAATTATCACGATGATTCGTATGTGCGTTTTCATTGAGTTAAACTATGATTAAGTATTAACTGTGTTGATGTTATCTTTAGTATTTTTATTTGTGTTGAACAAAATTTTAAAGAAAAATGGCCGAGATTAAAAACAATAGCAGTCAACAACCAATCGTCAAAATAGGCCATTATATACTCGGACAGACCCTCGGTGTTGGGACATTTGGCAAGGTTAAAATTGGTGAACATCAGCTCACCAAACACAAGGTTGCAGTCAAAATACTTAACAGACAAAAAATCAAAAGTCTAGACGTAGTTGGAAAAATTCGGCGAGAAATTCAAAATCTCAAACTCTTCCGTCATCCTCATATAATTAAATTGTACCAAGTTATTAGCACCCCTACAGATATATTTATGATAATGGAGTATGTATCTGGTGGAGAATTATTTGATTACATAGTAAAACATGGTAAACTTAAAGAATTTGAGGCTCGTCGATTTTTTCAACAAATTATATCTGGCGTTGACTATTGTCACCGGCACATGATTGTGCATAGAGATTTAAAACCAGAAAACCTATTATTAGATCATAATCTACATGTGAAAATTGCTGATTTTGGTTTATCTAACATGATGATGGACGGCGAGTTTTTAAGGACAAGTTGTGGTTCACCTAACTACGCAGCTCCAGAAGTTATTTCTGGAAAGTTGTATGCTGGACCGGAGGTTGACATTTGGTCATGCGGTGTTATTTTATATGCATTATTATGCGGTTCTCTGCCTTTTGATGATGAACATGTGCCAACTTTATTTAGAAAAATTAAATCTGGTATTTTTCCTATACCGGATTATTTGAATAAATCAGTTGTCAGTTTATTGTGTCATATGTTACAAGTTGATCCGATGAAAAGAGCTTCGATCGAAGATATTAAAAAACACGAATGGTTTCAATTTGAACTACCCGCGTATCTTTTCCCATCTCCAGTTGACCGAGACTCATCTGTTATCGATACAGACGCTGTTAATGAAGTCTGTGAGAAATTTAGTGTAAAAGATTCTGAGGTTCATAATGCATTATTGAGTGGTGATCCACATGATCAATTAGGAATCGCATACCATTTAATTATTGATAACAAACGAATTGCGGATGAAGCGGCTAAAGCAGAACTCAAAGATTTTTACATCGCTAGTAGTCCACCTCCTACAATTGGAAGTCCTGATGTATCAACTTTAAACACAATTTCTAAACCACATCCTGAAAGAATTTTATCTATGAGAGAACGAGCTTTATCTATTGACCAAAGTGTCCGAGGATCACCAATGAAAAAAGCTAAATGGCATTTAGGCATAAGATCTCAAAGTAGACCTACAGACATCATGAATGAAGTTTATAGGGCAATGAAAGCATTGAATTTCGAATGGAAAGTCATAAACCCTTATCTTATTCAAGTAAGACACATGAATAAAAAAACTGATAATTATACTATGATCTCATTGCAACTGTACCAAGTGGATTACAAAAGTTATTTGTTGGATTTTAAAAGCTTAAATGCTTTAACTCACGATCAAGCAGAAAATGCAAATAGGGATGGAAATGTAACTACACTGGCTATAGACACCTCTAAAGGTATAGATTTTGACAGTCAATCACCAAGACAAGATATTGTAAAATATCAGCAAGACATTGTACAACCTCCCAAAAAATGTGAAGGTCATTATACAATGGAGTTTTTTGAAATGTGTGCTGCTTTGATCACCCAACTTGCCCATTAGTTAATTAACAGAAATTTGTTATTGTTATAATTTTTCAATATCATTAGTAGGTACCATATACCAAATTATTAAAGAAATATTATGTCTGGTTTGTTATTCAATCATTTTCTTTATTTATTATGGCAGTATCTATATCTAATATTAAAATATCACAATGTCAAAATTTTATTTTATGATTTCTTAAATTCAGTTTTCAATTGTTATATATACGATATAATATTAACCATTATACCATTATTCATTAAACATGAATTACTTTTTAATTTAAACCAACAATTTTTTTTTTGTTTTTTGTTTTATTTTCAAAACTGCTTAAATTTGTCCATATTGAATAAAAATTACTATATTTTTTTCAGATATTGTTAATATTTAATACCCAACAATGAATTAGAATAACCATTTAAATATTGTTTATATTATTTTTGTACCTACAATATACTATTAGTGCTTTGATCTATTTCGTTTTCATTATTCAATTTATTTTAGTTTTTGAACAAATATATTATCGATTATATTATATACGATACCAATATGTAATTTTTACTATTAAATTAAAATAAGTTTTATTTGATTATACAAATAGGTACACTTTATGTTATGAATATTAAATTGTATATATTATATTTTACTGTGTTACTGGATTAATATAGTACTGTTTTATTTGTTAACAGTATTTATTTCATTTAAAATAAATATATTTATATATTAGTATATATATATATATATATATATTATTTTGTAAAATATGATTATTCTTATAACTAATAATTACTCATGCATGACTTAATTAACTATTTAATTATTTTAATTTTGATTAAATTTTATATGAAAGAAAATATTTGAGTATATACTAGATGAATATTTTAATCACTATTTTGTAAAATCATCAAAATTATATATTTTTAATACAATTTTACTATATTATACTTAATGTTTTGAAGTTTTTATATAAGTTAATAAATATGTATCAACTATTAAATATAATGCCATTTCTTTCATAAATAAATTACCCCTTAATAGTTAAGATGAAGTCAAAGGAAAAGAAGAAGAATAAATAATCTTTTTCATAAATCTCTTTCATAAATAATAATAATAATTATGGGTAATTTTATAAAAATTAATTTCCACTGCTTTGAATCTAAATGATTTAAGTTTGTCAAAAAATTGTTTTATTTATCATTTCTCTTTATTTTACACCTACATATTTATCTGCAGACTACTTAATAAATGATTTAATCATTCTTACAGAATTTTCGAAAAACGATTAATGGATAGCAACAATAATGGGAGGAAAGATAGAAGAATAGATGTTGACTAATAACTTAATTTATAAAACAGTTAAGTTGTTATTAAGAAAGAACTAAAAGTAGCTCTGGCAGTGGTATATCAAAATCACTGCACTAATCTAAGAAAAAAACAAATTTATTATATTATTTAAACTTTTGATCACAATTATTTTAGTTGGGCTCATGCAAATTGCATTGAAATTTTTCTTTGAGCACCTATAACTAGTATTTATATACCTACCCTAAAATTATGTACTTGTTCCACATCAGAAAATTTTTGTTTTATTGTCACAAATTTAATGTCATAATATAAACATTAGGTTTATTTTTTGACTGTATTTATTTAAGACTAGCAATTATAATTCTATTGAAAAGATTATATTTCAAAAATATTTTTATCAAATCATTTATTATTATGGTTTTAGTTTTATAGTTATTAACTGAGATGATTTCACCTACAGCATTACATAAATCAATTTTTATCAATAATTTGTCAACATAGTAAATCATAAATATTTGACATTTGGTTGCTCAACAATATATTTTATTATCAAACAACCATTTTATCTGTGGGGCATCATTTGAATGAACGAAATAACAAATTTGTTATGGCTAATATATTAAAATTAATATTACAATTTTGCAATAATATAGTATTATTTAATTTTTATTAATACTTAATGTGTGGTAAATAATAATAATTATCTCTAATTTGTGTGAATTTGAATTTTTAGGATGCCTACTGTGGATATGCCTGAAATCCGTGTAAAAACGGCTTTCAATGGGTAAGTTAATATTACAAATAAATTTTAATCTTAAATAATTATTAACACTTTAAATATTTGTATTTTTATAGAGAAGTTATGATTACATATATAGATCCAAAAATAACAGTTGACGAACTACGTTATCAGATGAGAGTATTTTGTAGATTTTCGTCAAATCAAGATTTCACGATGAAATGGGTTGATGAAGAAGGTATAATTATTATAATACATTTTATACTATTAACATTCTTAATATCTATACAATGGTAAAAAAAACTGAAAATAGGTACTTTTGTTAAATTAAGTTAATACATTGAGCCTTAAAATGTATGCTGGTATAATTGATAATCATAAATATAAGTCAAAATGGGCATTACAACAGTTAATTATGACCAAAAATGTCAAACAAAGTTTATGGTAACAATAATGTAGGTAGTAGGTTCTCAAAAATCTAGCAAGTCTTCTATATACTAATTTATACCTACACACATAAAATTCAAAATATCTATTAAAATATAATTTTTAAAGATATTAGTAAATATTAAGCATATTACAATAATTATTTTTCAATATGCAATAATAAAGTAAAACAAAATTATTAAAATGGTTAATACTCGTAAATACAAAAATGTATAAATAAAATTAATAAATGTGTTGCCTGAAGTATTATGATAAGTGTATTATACCACCGGTTTTAAATTAAAAATTCATCATCAGGTATACCACAGTCAAAATTTAAAACACGACTGAATATAAAAAATTAAATGAAGGAATACATAAAAAAATAAAAGTTATACAAATTGGTCATTTACATAGAAATAATTTATTTTAATAGAAGACATTATTTAAAATGAATTATTATTAGATATGGATATGTTAAGAAATATAAATCATTTGGTTATTATTTACTATCTAAAATGTATTAATATAAGATATTATTTTTAAAATCGGTTTGTACATTTAAAATATTATTGAAATGATTTTTCTTTATTACATTGTATACGTATAATTCTTCTAAAACTGAATTAATGTAAATGTTATTTTAGGTATTTAATATCTCTAAGTGTATTAATATCAAAGCTTATATTGTGGTTAGTTTCTAAAACATGTTTAGCAAAATTTGAATTAGGGGCAGCTTTTTTAAATTTTATTTCAAAAGTGTGTTCTTTATATTTTATTTTAAAATTTCTATTTGTTTTACCTATATACAATTTATTACAGTTAAATTTAAGTTTGTGTAATACTAGCATTTTCAATAGAATGAGGATTTTTTGTGAAGTTTTTAGTTCTACTGTTTATATGTTTGATTAAATTATTATTAGCCTTCAAAACAATTTTTACATTATCTATATTATTGTTCAGAATTTTATTGAATTCGTTAGACATATTATTTTGATATTTCATACCACAATAGTTAACAACTTTATTTGATGAGTTGTGTATTACTTTTTCTTTAATACATTTATGAATTTTTTGAATAGTATTTAAATTGAAATTATTTCTTTAGGATATATTATAGATAATATTGAGCTCGGGTTTATAACTATGTTTATTTAATAGAATACGTTCAAGCCTATAGAATATTGAATTTAAAAATTATGTTTTTTGAGAATAAGGGTGATTAGAATCATATGGTATTATAGCATCAGTTTGTGTAGGTTTCCTGAAGTACTAAAATCAAATTTATCAAACAGGGATTCAAATTTTGCTAAACATGTTTTAGAAAATAACCATAATATAAGTTTTGATATTAATACAGACTTGAAAATATTAAATAACCAAAATATAATTTATATTTATTCAGTTTTAGAATAATAACTATTGTTATTACTTATGTAATTATTATTAGAATAATTACACATACAAAATGAAATAAAGAAAAATAATTTTAATGATATTTTAAATATTCAAACCGATTTTAAAAATAATATATCAATACATTTTAGATAATAAATAATAATCAAATGATTTATATTGCTTAACATATCTATGTAAAACGACCAAGTTGTATAATTTTTTTTTTATGTATTCCTTCAATTAATTATTTTATATTCATTCGCGTTTTAAATTTCGACTGTGGCATACCTGACACATTTATTAATTTTATTTATTTTTACTTTTATATATACATTTTTTTATTTATATATTTATTTACTTTGATTATTATATACCTACTTATCTTTGTATTTTAATACCTATGCATGAAATGCATTTATTCATTTTATTTATTTTTATTTTTATGTGTATATACATTTTTTTATTTATATATTTTTTTATTAAAATTATTTTTTAAATAGAAAATAACATACAGGCGTATAAAACATATTGTAATATTACAAAATAAAATAATATTAGTTTATTTTATTTTGGACTAATTATAAATCAAAATAATATGAAATACAAAATATGGTGTATGTAGATTTTGTTCATTAAAAACAAAAAAATGCATGCTATTATAAAATAGTTGTTATTTACTATCTAAAAAATATCTTTAGGAAAATTAATCACATTTTTGTACTATTTGCATTTTAAACTTGTTAATGTGCATTTAAAATAAATTGTACACGTTTAATTAATGACCAAATATTAAAAATATCTTCAATTTACTTAATAATATCTATAATATAAAATTAACAACTAGTTGATTTTAACTTATGTATTGCATGGTAATATAATCATGTCCCATATTATTATTATTATACCATTTTAATATAAGCCGGTTTTATAATATTTCATAAATTATTTATTAGTGCAAACTGTCGAAAACCATCAATTTAGTTGTTAAACCAACAAACAATCTTAACAAAAACTTAATGGTATATTTTAATAACAGCCTTTAATGTGCTAATAGCTATGTTTGTTTTAAAAAAATATGTTGACATAGAATACACTACTCACATCCAAACCAACAAATGTGTAGGTGTCGAATCTACATAATAATGTAAAAATGTGTACATTTTTTATTAAAATAAATAAAGCTTCCATTTCTTTTAGATTCTGAGTGGAGCAATGAATGTATTGGTTCTACAATAATGTTTATTTTTCTTTTTTCTTTCTATGAATGACTTTAAAACCAGAAATTTTGCTCTGAATTTCAAGTGTAGCCTTTTTTCTGATAAGAAATCTGGCTGAGATGATACCTCATACCTGAGATGATTTTTTATTTTCCCAGGAATTTTCATTATAAATGGGAAAAAACTGAAACATTTTCAAAATGTATTATTTTAAAATCGTTAATATTACGACCTTTTAAAAGATCCATAACCGAACTTTACTCAGAATCGTTTATCGTTAGCAATGATTAATTGTTGTATACAGATATACATTAAATTTCTCCATTACCTTCTCAACTTTTCACCTAAAACAGTGACCCACCCATTGTGCGAAGTATGTGATATTTTTTAATTTAGAAACCTTTTATTTTTTGTATTCTGGTACTTTAATATAATTGTTCTGGTTTTTTATCTCTAAATTATGTATTTTATAATATACTAATACATATATAATGTATTCATCAGTAATTGGATTTAATATCAAGAGTTAATCAATTTGATTTGATAACTATACTCATTACCATCTTCATGATTATCCTCTTTGTTTATTTGTTATTAATACAGTTGCAGTATATCAAGAAAATTGTCGCATGTTTATTAATTAAAATGTATGGCTATATTTCATAATTTTGATTTATTGGGATCCTTGATGTGGGGTTTAATCAAATCTTGATCATTGCAATCAATAGTTTATGATAACTTCCTGTTGTAATTTGATGTTCTAAAATATACTTTAAAAATATATTAGAACAAATGTTTATCTTTAATAATAGTAATGCATAGGAAACTAATTATTTTAAATTACCAATTGATTGTTCTTAAAATAATAGTATTTCCTGTAAAAATGTTTTTACATAATTTGATTCTAACTTTGTTTTTTCTTTTAGTTTAGAACATACACTGATTAATATGTTCTTAACACATGTTGAATTCTATAAAAATTAACAGTAGACTCTCAATTATCTGTTTCCCAATTAACCATCACTATTTGCGCGTTACAGTAAAATCTTATTACCTTATGTGAGAGCTGGTTTATCCTAAACTTTCTGGCAATATAAATTAGATAACCAATGTATAAATTCTATGGGTGAGATAAAAACAGCCTATTGTGATTATAAATGTATCTTTTTCAATAAGTAATAGTTATTATATTAATATATATGTTATAATTATTTAAAAAATAATAAATAATGTGCATGTATTTTTAAAAATTTAACCATCATTTAACTGTCTTTTCAATTATTCATCAAGACTCTTGTCTTGAGACTGATAGTTAATCAAGGTTCTACTTTACTATAATTTATCATGAAATTTGTTAAATGAAATATAAATTTCCTTATAAAGTTAATTATAATAATTTTATTTTACCTATATCATATTGGTAAGCGTTCATTTTATTTATAATCTCTGTTTTACTATATTTGGTCATTGCCTTTTGGTTAAATGAAATAATTGGCTTAAAAATTGATTTTAGTTACACAAATATAATACTTTATTTAATATTATAATGTCAGTGTAATATTTATTATTTTTAAGAAATTTTATTAGTAATAAATTTAGTTAATAATTTGGTGGATGGTAAAACCAGAGATATCCATAATATAATATAATGCCTAGTTTATGAAAAAGCCATAACTTTTACATGTACAATATAAATTTTGTTTTTTGTAATATTCATTTCTTATTAAAGTCAGCTAGTAAAACAAATTATTTGTGTGATTACCTGGCTTATGTATATTGAAAATAGTTAATAACATGATGGAAATATTTTTAAAAAATTACTTGTAGTTTTTAATTTAAATAATAATTATTCTACTTACAAGTGAGAACTAGCAATTTATTATAAAAAAAAAGAAAGATTCAAAGTTCAGATTTTGGACTTTTTATTATAATTACTAAACATTACCTACACTTCTTAAAACAAATATGTGTTATATTTTGTAAATAGGAAATCTCAACTCTTAATGGAATTTTTTAAATGAATTTGTTTTAACCTGGGATAGATGTTTCATTCAAATGAATTTTAAGAAATATTCTTCCAAAGCAGCAGATTGTTCATTTTTCTTAGCATCTAGCCCATGAATCTTGTAATGTTAACTACCTAGATGTGACATGTTTTATATACTTTTAGTAGGAACATTTGATTTAGCTGGATTGCATATATAATTTTTTATTCTACTTAGAAATCCATAGAAAATTTGAATACAGAGATCAGATGGTTCTTCTTAGTTTTCTAAGCACTTTAGAACATATTATGGACATGTTTATTTCAAGTACTAGTATCAAACAAATTATGCTTGGTGGTGAGGCTTGAAAATTCTTTATTAAATATTCGGTTTACTGTTTTATTAACATTAGGATCATCACTGCCAATATAATTTTTAATTATATATTAAAGGCATATTATCATTAATTAATTATTTTAAAATATATTCAGAAAATATTTCTCTTGTTGCAATAATAATCATGATTTTATTATCTATAATCATGATAATAATAATAATATTATTATATGTAAAAAACAGCAACATTATCTATATAATATAATATATATATATTTAGAGTGTAATACAATGCATATAAAACGTTTTACAAGTATATATTACATGTATAATATACTATACATAATAAAACATTTTGAATGACTAAATTGTATAAAACTGTATAACAGACATATATATCTACATATTAAGTACAAAATTGATTTTAACTAATATCCATCAATTTTGTTTGTACATTTTCATGTAATATATTATGTAATGTTATTTTAAATTCAGTTTTTATATTAAACTGTTAACAAATATTTTAGTTTAATTATAGAAAAAATCTAAATAAAAAATAGTAAATAAATAAAAACACTTCATTGTAAAAACAGTATCTTCTTAACTACACATTAAAGCTAATCCATTACTCAAATAATTTATATTAAATTAAATTAATAGAAAAAATATAAACATTTTTATATAGTATAAAACAAAAGTTTTGTTTAATGTCTATGTTTTATATGTACAAATTATACGTGTTTTATACTTTAATCCAGCTTATACTCACACACACAAATGTAGATTTTAATAAAATGAATTCAAATTTTTGCTGAAACAATGGACTTAAAATGACTTACAAACAATTTAGTCCTAGTTGAAAAGTGACTTAAGTGGTAGCCCTGTCAGGTTATTATTTTAAACTTATATTAACTGATAGTTTTAATCATTATTACCTAATTTCAAGATGAAAATTAATATTTCTAAATATTTAAAAAATATATTAATCCGTTTAAGTGACTACAGATATGTACATATCCATGATAAAAGTTTTTCTTCCAATTGTTACCTTTTATTTATCTGATTTAAATTTTGAATATTCAACTCAAAAATACAAAGAACTACAAGACGACACATTTTAAGACAAAAATAAAAATTGTAAGTTAAGCTTACGAAAAATGCAATTTTAAAAAATATAGAGATACAAAAAAAAAAACATGATCAGCTTTAACATTATGTTTCACTAACGAAAAAAAAAATATTTGATTCAAATTGTTTTAATATTGATTTTAATTACTACCTTATAATAATATTATTAGTGAGTCATTTGTCTTATAATTTTTTAATTAGTTGAGTGTTTTCGTCAAACATTTGTGTGATAAAACTATTAATGTACAGAAGAAATTAGATAAATGTTACTTTAAAGGTGTATATGTATTATTATAATATATTATATTTTTTTAAATTTATAAATTATATTGTAGGTAGGTATATTATATTGTTTAAATTATGTATTATAATGTGTACGAAATTAATTTGTTATTTTAACCATGTACCTAATTTTTTTTACACTGTTTTTCTCGTTAATTTAGGCGATCCGTGTATATTGTCCACGCAAATGGAGTTGGACGAAGCCATACGATTGTACGAGCTCAACAAAGATTCGGAATTAACGATACATGGTAAGTTACCTACCTATTATTAAATGTGAAATGTCTACCAATAATATTATAATAATATAGGTTTATTATACATTTAGTTTGCTAATATTATTATTATAGCTAAGGTAATATTAAAAGTAATATTTTAAAATTAAAATAAATTCACTTTATATAATAAAAAATTGCAATATTTTGATATTGTGCAATGTGCGTGTTAATGGTACTCAAATTGTTATTATTGTAAAGTTTCCTTCCCATTATTATTGCTGTCAATCAAACACGTGCACAGTGCAAACCGTGTTGTGTGTAACCTTATTCCGTATTCGTATACTTACCGTTTCCACATTACCTCTCGATTTTGAACTGGCTAGAGGGGAAGGGAGGATTGTGGGCCGGAAGCGGGCAGAGTGCCGTGGGTCGGTGGGGAGGGTCGTAACAGCGGATTCGGCGCCCTAGTGTTTTGATTTTAGGGTGGAACCCGTACGGCCAGTAAGTGCTGCTTGCGTAGCCAAAAAGCTCAATATAAATCGCGTTGTCTTGATGCCGCCGATCAAATAATAATTTGTATACCTACGTTTTTATTATTATTAATTTAGTGTACTTAATTAATTATTTTAAAGTTCTCTGATAGTATTATTTTGTGTTACTCTGTGTTGTTTTTTTTTTTACAATATAATATCTAGGATTTTATCGATTTCTCAATATTGTTGAACCTATCTCTACGTATATAATATCGTTTCGTGACAGTGCTGTTCCTATTATTTCGTAGTAACTATAATTATAACGTAAAATAAAACGAAGAAATAAATGTAACTAACGTTTTTCCATAATCTTTTCGTGTTTTAAGTTAGTTAATACATACATGTAATATAATATTCTAGTTTACATATTATATATTTGTTCTTTTAATACATTTTTAATATTTATAAAATATGTTTACTTAAATGTTTCCGTTTTGTCAAAACTTGTGAATTCTAGAGGTTTATTTTTAATCAAAATATAGATTTCCATGTGAAGAATACAGTTTTATCAGCAATAGATTGGACATTGATTAATGGTCTATTTCATATTATGACTGTGTTCTAGTTTCTTCTTTATCTCGAATTAATGATAAGCAATAATAATATATTTTGCGAATTAAAAATAAATAATATTGTACTAGAATTATAAATAGGTATCTACCGATTTTATTTTTACTTCAATTACCTATTTATCAGTTATATAATAGGACCATATTTTAGATGTTATAAATTGTAATAATAATATGTTCTTATAATATTTTATTAGTTTTTTTTTTGTTTGTAATTTTATTACATTTGTATTTTTTCAAAAATTACTATCGATTCTTAAGTATTTAATTTTAACACTTAGAAAACAAATTAAAAACAATTTCGGTCAATAATGGCTTGGGGTTACTGGAGTGCCTCAACGGTTTCCGACCGAGGCAAGTCACCAAAACGTCAATCATCGTCTCTTGCTTTTTACAATCATCATATACCAACTTCAACTCCGGCTCCACCGTCTACATCGTATTACCAACATCAGCCTTTGCACAGCACTAACAGTTTTGGTTCCATAGAAGACGAAGATTATCATCATAGTTCTACGTTTTACCGTCGCCCATCACTGGGAGATATAGAATTCACTGGGCCAGGATCGTTGTCACTGTTGTTAAATCAAACTATTCCTCCTTCTCGTCCCAGAACTCCGCCGGCAAGACATATGTACGCACCACCCACTTCGTTGAGTTTGCCAGACTCGTGTGGATCAACAATGGCTATGCGACAAAGTATGAATTGCTTTGGTTACCAATCTACACCTATTGTACAACATTACCCTTGCAGTGTTCACGACCCCTCACCATCTTCTTCTATATCCGATGACGAAGACCATGTTTATGCTACAGGTAAAAAATTCAGCCGTAATGATCAAAAAAAAAAAAAAAATAAAAAATATAATTATTGTATTTGAACATACATGAATAATATGTATTGCGCTATGAGTTTATGTTTCTGTAATTGTATTGTAGAAGTAGTGATATTATAGATACCTACATATGTTGTTATTAGACAGAAATGAATGAATTTAATTTTTATATTTGTTAAATCTTTAAAATTTTAAAGATTTGATTTTTTGTTTGAAAATATTTTTTAACTTTATAAAATTTTAAAAACTTTAATTTTAATTACCTAATATTGGATTTGGGTTTTTTAACATAATTATTAAGGTTTGAGTTCCATTAAGCACAAATTAATTTAATTAGATATGTATTTGTTTATATTGCATGCTAATAATAAAATTACTATTTGACATTTACAATAGTACTTACTTGATTTAGTTTTATACATATTATAGATAATCAATATACAGATTGCTCAGTATATATTACTACATTATTTTGTAAGATTATGAATTATTATAGAATTTTAATTTTTAACAACTATTATCAAAATCTGGAATATTTGTAAATGAGTGCCTGAAAGGTCATCTATGTTAATTAATGTTGTTCAATTAAAATTTACTTATAAACATAATTATTGATGTCATTATACAAAATTTATTGCATGTTACAAAAATTGATTTTGGAAGCCTTGCATATTCTAAATAAAGCTCTAATTGTGTTGTTAATGTGTGAGATATTAGATTACTTAGTTTATTTAATTTTTATATTTACTAAATATAATTAAACAAAACTAAAATAAATAGTTTTAATAATTTTTTACATTTTCTTTAGTTTTTCCTAATGTACCACCAGCACCAGGAATGCCTTGTCAAGGAGAAGATCGTAAGTCCTGAACGTAGATAATCACAGATGATCTTATATAATTTTATCATATTAGTAAATAATTAAATTTATAATTTTAGGTAGTATATATAGACGTGGAGCAAGAAGATGGAGAAAACTATACAGAGTAAATGGACATATTTTTCAAGCTAAACGATTTAACAAGGTATGTAAATAATAATCTCATTCTTTGATATTATTGATTTTCCATTTTAAAACTTATTCAAATGTATACAGAGTGATTATTTTATCTGGGGATTTTAAATGAATTTAATTTCTGTTTTTTTAATCATTATACAATTTCTTAAGATTTATGTTAACACTACTTTATCATTTGTAACTTAAATGAGTATATATATATAGGATTTTCAAATAGCAACCGGTTAAACAAAGATTTGAGATTATTTTTTCAATAATTTTGATACACATAACTAATATTGGATACACTATTTGTGAATTATGACAGTTAAAATTTGGACTGAAGAAGTAGGATAGATTAATAAATACCATGCCCATTTTTAAATGATATTTGTTGGTTTATTTGTTTATGGTTGAAAAAAGTAATAAATCATCTTCACATAAAATTCTCCAAGAAAATCACTGGATCATAAAATAATCATTCTGTATAATACAAATAGATACACATTGTATCATAAATGTAATATTATATGATATGAAACAATTTAGTCTTTTAAAATAATAAAAATTTTGTTTTGATTGGACAACAGTCAATTAGTTTTTATATGTATTTGTGATGCACGATTTGTTGATGTTTAATTATACATAAAATAATTACTAAATTAGTTGTAATAATTAATTAATTATCAATCACTACATATGCATTTCTTAATAAATAAGATAAGATTGAATGTTGTGCTCTACTTTGAAATTTAATCATTCTATGAATTTAATACAAATATAAAACATGGGCATATTTTGTAGCTTTTCTACTGAAAATCAAGTACTTAATAATAATTTTGTATGTTATTAGTTGACACATTTAATTTAGTAGTGTATATCTCTTAAACAATTTTCATATTACTATTTATTATTTTTATTTATTATTTATCTTTTTATAACTAGGGAGCATATTGTGCATATTGTAAAGATCGAATTTGGGGATTGGGACGACAAGGATTCCGATGTGTTCAATGCAAATTGTTAATCCATAAGAAATGTCATAAGCTTGGTAAAAAAACTTGTACTAATGATCCTATAGTCAGTGATGATACTAATGGTGACTCACAGACAAATTCAAGTAATTAAATAATTAAATTTTATTAAAAATAATATTATATTATAAACAAAATATTTGAATTTAGGTACACCTAGTTCTGATACTGCTTTGCCTGATTTAAAAGATTATCCTGAACAGAATTCTGGTAATGATCAATCTGCTGATTCTGTACCTATTGATGACCCTCAAGTTAAAGGTATTGTTTAAATATATAATTATTATTTTATACAATATTAACTATTTTTTTTATATATTATATAAGATGATGAAGTTGGAGTTTCACGTCAGTATTCAATTGCTGATTTTGAATTAATTAGAGTTATCGGCCGTGGAAGTTATGCTAAGGTGTTAATGGTTGAACTTAAAAAAACAAAATGTATTTATGCTATGAAAGTTATCAAAAAAGCATTAGTTACAGATGATGAAGTAAGTATTCAACATGATATAATATTAAAATTATGATATCTATGTAGCTCTACTGAGAATTATTTAGCAAGCTCATAATATCTTAGCTATTATTACACAAATTTTTAAATTTTTAAAAATGTGTAGATTAGATTGTAAATACAATTAGAAATACTAACAAATTACTATAATAGTGATATTATATAAATGATAAATATTAAATAATAGTGAATATAAAAATAAAAATAATACTAAATAAACACTACTTAAAAAAAAAAAACTAGCGATGATTGTAGAAAACTCTAAATTTAATTTAGAAATGTAGCTATAGCGTTAGCGAATTATTACATTGAAAGTAGTGATTTCCTACTACTTAATATACATCATCAATTCTGTCCATTCAATTCTTCTAGTTCCATTTTTTATTATAGACACTGAGCACTTGAAAACTCGCTTGAACAAATATGTCGTTGAAAATACATGAAATAGTGTAAGGCAATATTGAATAATAATTGTGTATAATTTGATATTGGGCATATAACATCTTCAATAAATGTATATAATATTTTGATGAAATCATTTTTTCTTTGGTAAAAAATTAAATTAAATAGGAGCACAAATTGTTGGTTCTGTGGATCATCAATAACTGGCTTTTGGATTGTTGGTAGAGAATCACTGCACTGTAGTGGTTCGGTTCTATATGATACCTAATAAGACAAATTTTTAAATTTGTAGGATGAAAAAATGTTGATATTTAAATAATTTCTTTTGTTGAGAATATATACATGCACATTATACCAAATATTTACAAATTAAATTTGTAGAGTTGAGTCATTTTGTATTTTATAATTATATATCTTATTATTTACAATTCACCTGTTTTTAATTTTAAAATATAACATTTATTAACTTAATAAAAAAATATTTAATCAACCTAACCTTCTTAGCAAACAATATTATTAGTACTTAGTATTTATTAAGTATACAATTAATTAAAATAAATCATTGGTGACATGATTATTTTCTTATTATTTATTTAACATTAGGAAAACTGATTATTTATTATTTTATGCTATATAATATTAATATCCAAATTAGATCATTATAATTTAAAAAAGCAAAATGAATAATATAATATTTTTATTTCAAATTTTAGGATATTGATTGGGTACAAACAGAAAAACACGTTTTTGAAACCGCCTCTAATCATCCATTTTTGGTTGGGCTTCACTCTTGTTTCCAAACAGCCAGCCGGTTATTCTTTGTAATTGAATTTGTACGTGGTGGCGATTTAATGTTTCATATGCAAAGGCAAAGACGATTGCCCGAAGAACATGCTAGATTCTATTCAGCAGAAATCAGTTTAGCTTTGAATTTTTTGCATACTAAAGGTAATTGTCACCATTTTATTGCTTGGTATAATATAATAATTATTAATAATCCATAATAAATAATGTATATTAAAATTTGTCTTAATTGTATAACTAAGCAGATATTTATTAGAAAACCTCTTCAACATTTGTTTTCACTGTATGTCTTTTTCATAATATAAACAACAAAGGTATTCTACAATTCAATGATTGTAATTTTTTGGTTGAGTATAGAGGTAAAGGATCTATTATATTTTAAATAAAGAAGAGTATTACTATGTCTTAACTGAATTAGGACCGTGAATTAATAAAAACTAAAATATATTTGTACGTTTTTTGTTTTATTTTGATTTATACGATTAATAACCCAAATATAAATTTCTCAGTGTGAGGAAGTGTAGTTGATGAGTTAGTGTGTGATGTTGTACATTACCTGTACATAATATGTCCAATATGTTATCAGTTATACAAGTTATGAATATATCAAAATAATTTGGCTTACTTAAAAATGAATAACTGGATAACAATTCTATCAACAGTATTATGTTTGAAAGTAATGTCTTATCAATGTCTTATATGAACATGAAGCATAGTTTCAGAAATCAATTGGTAAATCATTAAGTACCTACCTACTGAATATCATGCAGTTTGTGTAATAGAATTTCAGTAAAAACTATTTGTATTTCGAGTATGTTGGCATATTTATAACCTCAAATTTGTATCTTAAATAATATATACAGGGTTATTTTTAAGGCATGCTCGCCTTATTTGTATGGATAAGTTGTGATTGCAATCATTTATATTATATAAATTTAAATTATTGGTTGCTTGTGTAATAAACTAATATATTATGATTTTTAATTTTGTCAACATACATTATAGCTACAATTATAGTTTATTGGTTCATTCATTTTCTTTAATATTTTTGATATTTTTCAAGATACAGGTATATTATTTAATTTCTCTTAACTATGACTATTAAATAACTTATGAAGAAATAAAAACATTTCAATTGAGTTATGGCATAGTAAATACAGTTCTTTATAAAATCTATAGGTCTCTTTGTCCTAAACTCTTATTAAAGAGTTGCAACTGTTAAAGTATAAAATTAATTTATTGTTATATTATTATATTTATTAAATAAATATTTCTACAGTTTATAGTTTTTTTTTTTATAATTATATTAGTTAATCATTGTATTAATTTAGGATTCATATTATATTAATTTATTTTATAATATTATTTTTATATTTAAGGTATTATATATCGAGATTTAAAATTGGATAATGTACTTCTTGATCATGAAGGCCATATAAAACTGACAGACTATGGAATGTGTAAAGAAGGAATACGGTCTGGAGAAACAACATGTACATTTTGCGGTACTCCAAATTATATTGCTCCAGAAATTTTAAGAGGAGAAGATTATGGATTTAGGTACATAATTTCATTATGTTATATTTTTATAGATTAAACACCAGATAGTTATAATTTTTCTAAGGTTAATAATCAATAGTTATCTGCTGTATACTATTAAAAGTCTGCAATATCATTATGACATGATATCAATACTGTAAGATTTTTTCAAATTTTAATTCAATGTATTTTCGATTAATAAATAGAATTACTCACAAAACTAAGTAGTATACATGGTACATATACATTTTAATATATATACATTTATGTTATTTATCTATTATGATAAGATATGGTTTATACATGGTTTGGATATGGATTGATATTTTAATCATTAATTACATTTCTTATTTTGGTGTTCTCTATTCAGTATCTAAATTACTATTGTTATATTTGTTTATGAATAACTTGTTTATTTCAAAATATTCAGGCAATTTTTAGTTTTTTTTTTTTTTTTTTTATTTGGTTTATATAAATTAAATTTTTTTGACTGAACAAAAATGCATTACAAAGTTCATTTAATCATAAGTTTTTATTAGTGATAGGAAAAAAAATTGTAGTGCAATATAGTAGTTTTAAATTTGGAGCAAAGTGAGGAATTTATTGGTTTTATTATGTGATCTTTTTCTGTCGAAACAATTTTACTAACAAGAAAACTTGCTCCAATCACTTTTTTTGTTGAATTTTTGGATCTATATCTGAGGAAGTAAGTGATTTTTTGATTTTCTGTGTAGTTTTCTTTAAAATTGAGCAAAACTGGGAAAGAACAGAAAAGTTTATAAAAATATTGAAAATATAAAATCTTCAATTTTGGTTTTTGTAAAAATTCAGTTAAACATATTTATAGACTTGAAATTTTGATAGAAAACTTATATTTGGCATTTCTAGATGTTATAGAATATTCAAAACATTTTGTGTTATTCACAAGCATTCTATTTTTGTGAGTTTTTAAAGTATTTTTTATTTGGTAGGTACCCTGTGGATAAAATTGTTTGACTAAACAAAAATGCTTGAAAATTTGACAGGCTGTTCACTATAAATCATACTTAATAGTAAAAATAAAAGTTGAGTGTAATATAGTTTTTTTTTTTTGTTTTTATTATACAAGTTTAAATATTATAAGGTCTTTCAAAACATGTTTTACTAAATGTCTCTGAATCTTTTTTCGTTTGAAATGATTTATTATTACTTAAAGGTTATACCTATAAACTAGATAACCATATGTATCCTTTCTTCTCAACTTTCCAACTTCTGACTTTTTTTTTTATATAGGCTTTATAAGTTGAAATTTTGATGAAAATCATAAAAATGATGACATTTCAAAACATGCTTAACCAACCACTCAGACTCATACTTCATCACTTATTAGTAATGATTCATTGTTGTTTTCAGGCATAAAAATATTTAATCTATGTCTATCCTTTTTCTTTGTTTCTTGAATTTATCTTACTTCCCAACATCTTGCTTATAGAGCTACACCAGTGGCATACCTATTAGTTTAACTCCTTTATTCTTTCATTTTTTTTTTTTTTTTTTTTTTTTTTTTTTTTTTTTTTGTAATTATTTAATTTAAAACATTTAAACTTATATTCTGTTAATAGTTACACTATTCAAATTTTTTTTAAATTTAATATATAATTTTAAACTGTCAATAAAGTACCAAAAACATTTAAAATAAAACAGTTTTATTTTGAAATGAAAAATAGACAAATAGTTATTAGTTTCAATTAATGAAAATGTGAAATACAAATTTTACTTGATTGTATTTTATTTTCCTTCAATTTCATAAAATAATTTTTCTCAAATCAGTTTTTTAATTGTTTTTTTATAGTATATATTGATAAGTTGGATAAATAAATTTAAATTTTGCTTAGTTTTATTTTCCCTAAAAATGTTGTTAATAGTTTTTCTATATTTGTAATGTAATAATAATTTAATTTGGTTTGTTAATTAGTGTTGATTGGTGGGCACTAGGAGTGCTTTTGTACGAAATGTTAGCTGGTAGAAGTCCATTTGATATTGCTGGAGCATCAGAAAATCCAGATCAAAATACTGAAGATTATCTGTTTCAAGGTGATTGAAATACAATAATCAATTTTATACAACTAAAATTAAATGTTAACCACATTGTTTTTTTTTCTTTTTCTAGTTATTCTCGAAAAAACTATTCGAATTCCAAGATCACTTTCTGTAAAAGCTGCTTCAGTATTGAAAGGATTTTTAAATAAAAATCCAATTGAACGTTTAGGTTGTAATCGAGAATCCGGCTTTTATGATATTATAACTCATCCATTCTTCAAATCAATTGATTGGGAAATGGTAAGGTGTCAGATAATCCTATAACTTAATATAGTTATTATTTTCTATCATTAAAATTATTAAGAGCACATGATACTGAGGTTGTTTCTATCTTATAAACATATGAAATAGCAAGTTCGTGTTCAGCAAGAGAACTTTGTGCAGTTAGTTTTAATATTATAATGAATTATAAAACTTAAAGATTAAAATAACTTTGTAATTGTATTGCTTTTTTTCAATATTTTAATTTTAGAGCAAAATTTAAGTATTTTTAAACAATCAATAAAATGTATGATTATAATGTCATAAGCGAACTTAAACTAACTTTTTAACAAATATCAATAAAAAAAAGTGATTAGGAACACAGATGTTCTTATCTTTAAGTTTGATAATAGGTCATTTCGCTGTAATATTAAAACTGACTGTACAAAGTTTTCCCTGTTGAATATAATTGTGAGTACCTTTCTTTTTGAGTAATTTGTTATAAAACCTAATAATTTGTTTGAATTTAGTTGGAGCAAAAGCAAGTTAGCCCTCCTTATAAACCACGGTTAGATTCTGATCGTGATCTTGCCAATTTCCCACCAGAATTTACTGATGAACCTGTACACTTAACACCTGATGATTTGTAAGTAAATTTATTATTTATTTAACACCCATTTAAAATATATATTACCATAATATTACAAGAAAATTTTAGTTATATTTTATAAAAATAAGTTTTGCGTATGTATTTAACTGGCATATTTCAATGATGGTTAAATCAGAATTGTACAAAAATTGAATGTAGTTCAGTTTGGGCCCATGAAATATTTTGTTCCAAAATATAGATGTGGATGCGTTAAAGATATTGTAGTAAAAAATATAGTACTTTGATCACAGTATGATTTGAATTTATTTATAAAAATGTATAATAGAATAAATGTTTTAAGTCGATAAACATTAAATTAATAATTTAATACATCATTCATCGTACCTAAATGGTTTAAAAAAAAGTTTAGTGTACTGTACTAGTTGTTTTTTTATTGGTGAAAGTTAAAATTTTAATACAAATTGTAGAAATCACTGCATTTAATAATATGCCGAACTTTACTCAAAATCGTTTTTTTATTAGCAGTGATTTGTCTTAGAGTACAAATATATATCAAGTTATTCTATGCATCCTACCTCTTTAATTTGAACAGTGGTCTACCCAAAAGTACAATATCATACTGTTGTACAAGGAGTGTAGTGATATTATACTAAACACTCGCTTTGTAATGGTTTTTTATTTATCTGTTTTCAGAATTAGTTAATATCATAAAATACTTATAATTTGGTAGTTATGAAAATGAATGTATTCATTTTTTATTTAAAAATTAAATTATGTATATAGATTACATGGTATTTGACAATCTCATAACTGTTTTAAACATTCTTTTTCAATAGTTATTTTTATCAGACTATGGAGACTCTGGTTCAGACCATGGTTATGTATTTACTAAACTTTTTTTTAATATCACCAATTTTGAAATAAAAATTATTAGTTTTGTTTAAAATATTACCTATCTCTAGACTTGATAAAATAATAATAATTAATAATATTTAGTCAATAAATACATTTTTTTTTTTGTAAAATAACTTTATTATAAATATTTGTGCCAAAAATTGAAATTGTCACATTTGGCACAATTACTTAGTACTTACTTGTTTTTGATAAAATTAACTTTTATGAATTAAATCTGGTCTACATTCCTTAATATGCATTTAACAGTGAATTTATAAACTTCATAATGCAAATTATAGTACTATATAATTTATTATTTCACCTAAATACATTTTTTAAATTTGTATTATTTTTACCAGGTTTGGTAAATTTAATAATAATTAATATGTAAACTAATATTTTAGTATCAGTTATCAGTAATAATTTCAACAATTAATAAACATTTATTTAAATAAAGTGAATAGTTAGATGAAGTTTAGTTTGTGGTTATGTTAGTTTGATTTAAACCTTCACCTGTTATAAATTATAGAATTTTGTTTTGATTATTCAGTACTGGTTTTACAAAGAATACAAGACTTTTGCATTTAAAAGTTGTAGTATATGCAATATTATTCTTACATATTCATCTGCCACTCCAATAACATGAACATTTTCTCTTTGAATCTTACTTAGTTTATGTCATAATATACTTGTTTTTTGTACTTTGTACTTTCATACTAAAATATAGTAGCCAAAAACTTTTGGTTGCAATATTCATAAATTCTTATAATTTGTAATATGTATTCTGTGGGTTTTTATTTTTGAACACTAAATCATGACATATTGAATTACATTTTCTCTACATTTTTCATTAATTTGTATTTATTTTATAAGTTTCTTATATTTTACATTTTAAAATTATAATAACATAATCGTATTTCATTTTTTAATTTACCTTTAATTTAACTATTAACTATAACTTATTAGTATTAAATGCAAAGGAGATAATATGCATATATAAAACAAAGCAAACAAAACTTATATAATTTATAAAACATTTAACATTTTGTATTTTTTTTTTGTATTTGATATTTAATTTAAATACAATTCAATAATCAATATTTCTGTTGAAAGGTATTTTTGAAAAAAAAAATAAAATGTATCATAATTATATATAAATCAAATATCAATTACTTGCTATTGTCAATTGTATTTTTCTTACTATTAAGAGGACACCACATCAGCATCTACTGTCCCCACCTTACAAACACATGACATAGCAAATTTGCATTATCTAGGACAAATTTTAAGCGGCCAGTGATAATACTATAGCAAATTGACCTATGACCAAACTTAAAGATAAAAAAATCATCTGTACCCTAGCGTTGAGGGTTTTTTTCTCGATATTTTAATTTTTAAATGCGATGAGTATGTTAAATATAACAATTTAAAAAATGATTTTTTCTTGAAAATGAATGAAAAAATAAATAATAAAAATGAAGATATCAAAAAAAAAAAAACATCAACGATCTATGCTAGAGCAGAGATAATCTTTTTAACTTTAGGTTTGATTATAGGTTAATTCGCCTTAATATTAAAACTAACAGCATGCAATTTGTCCTATTGAACGCAAATTTACTATATTGGACATTTGTAAAATGGAGACAATAGATTCCGCTGTGGTATCTTAAACTGAAAATAATGTCTATTATATACCAAATAAAATCAAAAAATTTTAAATAAGTAATAGGTAACTAAGTAAATTATAGGTATAGGTATAAATATTTAAAGGAAAAATACCAACTACCATAATAATTTTAATCTACAGTTAGTTTTCATTTGAGAATTATTAAATTTAAATTTATTAATCTTTATATAAATGGGCCTAAATATAACCCAATGCCTCACCTTTTTAACAATAATTATAATTTTTACTGTTGACATAAATAAACTATTGTATAATGTATGTTCATAATAATATTATTGGCCTTTTTTGAGTAGGTATAACTATAGTAACTAACTATAGTTACGTGATATTTTATGAAATTAAAGTCTACAATAATTATTGTTTTCCTTGTCCAGTAACAAACATAAGTACATAGATTGTCGATTATTATTATTTTTTTCTGATCATATACAATATGTGAACTGTTTTGTTGACAAAACGACCATTATTATGTATAATGACGACGTTGATGATGATGACAGCGGCCGACCCTGGGGTGTTTTTACCAACTTAGGGTCCTAAATAGGGAATAATAGTAAATAACGAGAGCGGTGCATGGGTTTTTTGTATTTTAAGGAGTGTACCTGCGGGTATATCGCAGTATTGTTTTATCAAGGAATATTATAATTATACTTGTCCCCGGGATCTCCCCTGCTGCAGCAACAGCAGTACTGTTTCACACGTCTCCCGTTTCCTGCGTTTTTTTAATTGCTACCCTGACTAAAAAGAAAAATATATATATTATATATATCAGCTGCTCCATGTATACAGTATAGCTTTGTTGTCAATCACCGGTCACCGAGGTCAAGCCGCTGAAAAACGACTTCGACCGTCGCTTTGTCGTCCCTCATTATATTATTATTATATACGGGTATATGGATTTCGTAATGTTTATTTCCTCCTTTGTCGGTGCATTTCGTTTTGTCCTTTTTTTTTTTTTGGCATACGTTTCTGTTTGCTTTAATTATTTTTGTGTTTGGGGATGGAATAAATAGAAAATAGAAATCTATGGTCGTATACGAGTGAGAAACCTCACTCTGTGGCGTGCCAGTGATCATTCAAGTTTCGTGACATTATACATTGTCCGAAGCTTACCGACTACTGTTATCTCGACAAATAGTGTTTTCCGCGCACAAACCACAAGCAATACGGTGTACGATTTTCAATCCATTTAATCCCTTGTCTGATTTCCAAAGAAAATGTTATATTATCTCCCGGATTAAGATACTCGTACAAAAACTTGTTATTTCAACGATATAATAAAATACTACATCATCATTTATACCCAAAATCGAGAGAAGACTGAAACCTCTTTCACTCCCAGCCTGTGTCTCAAATTATATCAATAACATTCCATTTTTTTTCACATTGATATTATATATTTTTTGATTACTTAAATTTTAAAAAAATATTCTGATTTTCTTAAGAGTTAATTTAATAAGGTAATACATCTAAATTTATGTTAATAGATCTATAAAAGAATAACCCAAACACACTAAATACCATGGGTGTACAATTGTTGTAGGTAAGAAGTTTGTAATTTATATGATAATATAGGTAATAATTTAATTTTTATACTGAAACTGATCATAAATAATTTCAATAAAAAAACGATTTTGAGCAGAGCTCGGTAAATTGGGTTATATAGTATTGGTTGTGTTTTCTCCCTTGAAGCCTGTCATTTGATGTTGGTTTTTTTAAATTTATTTGTAAAACTGTTGCTGGTCTGACAAAATTGTTTTAAATAAAGTAGGTACCACTAGGCAAAAAATCCGTTTTTTTAAGGTACGATGTGAATAATATAAAACATTTTTTCCAACCACCGAAAAAGTATTTTCCGAGAAGAAAAACTATAATTAAAAAAAAAAAAAAAAAAAAATGAGATTTATTTTGTCATACCTGCTTGTTTATTAACGCTAAATCCTGCGTTTATTTATAGCTTTCTGAAACATTCCGAATAATTGTTGACAACTAGATAATTTAAAAACTACCATAATATCGCATTATGATTAGACTGTAATGACACATTATTTTCATCTAATGTGTGATACTTCATTGCTTCATTTAGAAATTTCATATACAAACATGTATACGATTAATAGTGTATTATAGTGTTAAATGTTTTAATGAAATGTTAAAACCCGTGTTCTCTAATAAAAATATTCTAAAAGATTTTTTTTTAAATTTTTTTTGTTTGCTATGCGACACTATGGGAGTAAATTTATACGCAGTCGACTGTATTTATAAATTATGCCCACAGTGTGTGCTATTTTTGTTGTCATTTTTTCCCTATTACATTATTGTTACAAGTTCTTATTTTTTTATTTCTCCGAATAGTTATCTATTTAAATTATCGTTAAGATCGTATCAATTAAAATTATTATTTAATTTTATAGAATGACTCCATGTATTATACGAGTCATCGCGTCGAAATATTATGTATAACGTTGGTAGGTCTATAAATTAAATAGCTTCTTCATCTTATAAACAATATTCACATCGTGGTCTATATTTATTATTTTTTTTTTTTATTTAATTTAACTATTTTTTGTGCGTATAACGCCTGTGTGTGTGTGTGTGTGTGTGTGTGTTTTCGTTAGATTTATGATTTGATTTAGGAATGCGTATGCTGCGATCTTAAATTATCACCACCGCATTTCGACAACATATGATATTATACACTAAATAACGAAAATAACAGCACTGTGGAAGGCGTTGCGAACCACCAATCGGCCGTAAATACAACGCCACACATGATTTACCTAATTTTAAATATGCACTCGTAGACGTTGTGTTGCGTATACAGGGTGATCATCGATAAGATTATCACGGAAAGTATTAATTTTTTTCAAAAACTTAATTAACACGTTGAAGAAACGGTCTAGACTGTTAATTTTTTTTACTATTTTCAAGGGTGAAACCACTTTTAATTTCCAATGACAATCTATACAAAAATGCTTTGAACAGATGAAGTTTTAGTTTGAATATATTTTGATAATTTTAATTTCCGTCAATCCGTTGAAAAAATTGTCTTCTTTTAATTTTAGGTTGGAACAAAGTAGTGTGTAGCCCTATTCAAACATCGAGCATCACACAAATACTCTATTACTCTTTCCCAAACTTAAATGTGGAATGTATTTCGTTCATGGGTTGACGAAAATTAAAAATGCCAACACCAAAATGTTTTTAAACAAAAAATTTAAATTATTTTTATCTAATTTTTAATATAGGTTGCTGTTTAAAAATTAAAAGTGGATAGAGGTTTATCTCCAAATTCGTGGTTTTTGATTACAAAATCAAAAATAAAAAAATTTATTATGCATTTCGCTGGAAGTTTTCCTTATTATGACAAAAAAAAAGTTCAAAATCGGATTACTCAGACAAAACTAGGGAGGTATTAGAGGGTCTTCAGCATCTCCAAGTTCAAAATTAGTACCCCTCCCCCCCCCAAAAAAAATACTCAATACGTTTTTTTTATAGTATCGATTAAATATTTTATCTATGTATTTCATAATTAATAAGCTATAGGATAAATACAGATTACCTACAGACAATGTATGATATATAAAAAATAAAGTTATACTACATAGTCAGATGAAAAATCGTAATTGTAATGTGTAATTGCTTGTTATAAGTATCATGTAAAGGTGATTGTGGGGACATTGATAGGTCTATGATGTGTCTATAGTTTTAGCACCCCCAAAATTGGTGGTCTAGTTGTGCCTTATTCACGAATTGTTTTGAGCAAAAAATCAGTTAGCGTCCATTAATTTAAAAATTAAAACCAATTGAACTATATTTAATGAGACCAATTGTTAACAATTACTCAAATAATAAAAAAACATCAAGTAGGGACTCTCAACAGAAAAAGGAATCTTGTATTTGTTTTTATTGTTATTTTAATGTCAGCTGTACGTTCTGTATACATCGTCTATACGTTTACTGTGTTTGTGTTGTCTTTTGTTGTTTTTTTTTTTTTTTTATAGTGTTCGAAAAAGTATATAATATTTATTAGTAAAAATATGTGATGACATTTGCATAATAATAACAATAATAAATTCGATTTTTTTTTCGTGCTATCCCACGTTCTCTGCGTCACGATATAATAATATCACGACGATAACTAAAAAGACGCTACACAATATGAGATTATTTTTTAACTGATTGGCTTTTTACAGAACCAATTTCGTGCTGTTAGTTTTAATATTATAACGAATTTGGCATAATACATCAAATTTAATGTAAGAAACCGTGTTTGTACGTTGGTTTTTTACGATATTTTCGTTTTCAAACGACATAATATTTTGAGTGTGTGAAATACTAAAATATTGATAAAAAAAATGAGGTAAGAACACAGTTAATGTTCATACCTTTTAAGTATAGATTTACTCCATATTAAACTGAGATAACAAAACCGTGTATAACGTCCTGTTAAATGGAACTCATACCATCGGTTATTGTACACATTACACTGACCGAGAGTGAAAATAAATATAAATATTAAAACTTTTAGTTTAGTAATAATAATAATAATAATAATATAGTTTATAATATTTCGTGGCGTTCGGGTAGGGGGAAATGGATCTTATGTTTCGGCGTGCCAAAAAGAAGATATAGAAAATTTCGGTAGTGTATAAACCCAGGGGACCGTTGCCAAATGTCAACTATATGACGACACCGACGTGATATACAAAACCGTACAAATGTCTGACCATTTTTTTTTGCTCGTAAGCCACTGACAATTATTATATAATATCAGACGAAATTAATTTTCGTTCTTAGTAAATGATTATATTTTACTAATTAATAGTCGTGTGCTTTTTTTTTCCGTCTGCGAACATTGCTTTACTCGTAGCACATTTTGTTTATAGTTAGCGTATTTGTATAGGCAATCTAGTTATGTATTCCTAGTACTTATATTTCATATTCTATATATTTGTGTTTTACCTTTTACGGTTATCAAAAAAACGGTTATTGATTTTTGTCGAATTTGTTGCGAAAATAGACTGTTGCACTGTCGTATCTATATTATACAAATTTTATCTAATTTAATGTTATAGAAAAATTTTCCATAAAATACTTATTTTTCATAAAAATTATTTATGTAAAGACTTTTTGGAAATTCTAAAATGTTTACATTGGCCTTATTTTCGGAATGAAACGACTACCTACTTTTGATTTTCGAATGTTAACTTATTAAAAGTTCTATAAATAAATGTATTATTACTTTTAAGACATTTTTGTTGTCAGTTGTATTTATCAGGGGGGTGAATAAAATTCCAGGAGGCATTTGCTCCTTTCTGGAGTATACCTGAATTTAACACTAACTGAGTGGGTGTCCCACGAAGACATAACTGTTGCAACCCGTTCTGGGTTAATGATATTATAGAAGTAATGATATTGACAAAATTCAAAGTTATCTGATTATTTACTTTAAATGTAATATATTAAGAATTCCACACTCCGGTTATAACAATATTATAATTTTTCTAAATTTGCAGTCCTTAAAAGATAGAAGACACAACTACTACGCTTCTTTTCTTAATAAATTAACCATTAACTACATTGGTGACTCTTTCATATTTGGCCTTATCAAATTTAAAGTCAACCCTCATAATAATCGTAACAGAAATCTATTCTATATTCCTCATCAAAATAAAAATTATTTATCTTGCTCGCCTTTAAATATTTTAATGTCAACTGGTAATAATCTTACCAAGAAATTCTATTTGTTTAATATTTTCACTACTTACATATTTTTATTTTCGTTTTTTTTTTTTTTATGTTATAAAATGTTATATGTCGCAATTGTAAGTTTATGTACCCTCTACTCATATCATTATTGTAATTTTATTTTAATTGGACATTTGTCCGTAATATTTAATAAATAAATATTTCGGAAAGTAATATCTTTTTTTTTCTTTTGGATTTTTATTTTGACAATTTAAGAAACAAGCTGCTATACAATTTTTTATTTCCAATATTTTTTGTCACTCTTAATTTTGGGGGTAAAATGATTATCTATTTTTGATTTTTAAATGACAATCAATATTAAAAATTATATAAATAGTAATGGCTAAAATACATTTTGATGTTAAAATGTTGGATTTCCGTTGACAAGATTTCACTTTGGGTTCACTTTAGTTTGGATAAGGGATGAGTAGTGGATCACTATTCAAACGCCTCGTGTCGTGTCGCTACACAAGATGAAGAGCATTTCCTTAAAAGCGGAATGTCTCGTCAACGTGTTAATTGAAATCAATAATTTCAATAGCAAAATGTATTTAAAATAGCTCGCTTCTCTCCATATTTACAGCCTAAGTTAATGTATGCTTAATTTATTGACTATAATTTTGTTGTTTGGATCTGGCTTAACTAAAGAAAATTCTATGATTTATTCATGAATCGTGATTATTATTGACCCATATCTCATCCAATTGTAAATTCTTGGACATGTCACCGAATGCAGAAACAAATTGAGTAATAACGCCCATCATTGTCGCGCTTTATATAATACAAAATATATCGCGATTTTTGTTAAAATATCCTTGCCCCTCCACTGTCCCTCTCCCTCTTTTTCTTTCTATTGTCGTGCTGCCGTTTTGACATATTTACGATTTTTAAATTACGAATTGAAAAGCGACCGCCCGGGTGTACGTGTGTGTCAATATTTTAATGTAACGGTTACAGAGGTCAAAGAGACACGTCGTGTAATTTGTCAGGACACGCGCAATTATTCAAATTCTTCCCGTCGCCATTGTCCACGCGTACCAGTATTATTATTACACTGTCCGTGTATTATAGAGGCGCGCATCCCCGGGAGCGTGAGATAACCGCGGCGTTCGTTCCCTCTGTTTGACACCTTGGTGTTCATTATCGCAATGTTTTTTTTTTTCGTCTTCTTTCACTAACTCGTCACTGCAGCGTTTCCTCCGCGCGTCTCGTTTACACGGCAGTATTGCTCTCGCTTTCGGCGCCGACCGTTTTGTCGTATTATAATATTTTTTTGTTGTTTCGGATGCGACACCCTTTAACAGTTTTGTTTACGGCTCATTTAGCACACGCATTTACCATACACAAACACACACACACAAATACTAGGCCACACCGTCGATATACGTATACGGACGCATCCATACCTATATGATACGCCGAGGACGACAACAAATGTTTATAAAGAATGAAAAATTTGACGTGAATTTTTTCTAAAGAAGAGAGTGGACGAGGGCCATCTGTTATCCGTTTACATTATATAATATTATAATAATAGTTATAGTATATTGATGGCGGCGGCAACAACGACGATCCGCGTCCACCCAGAAAAAAAAAAAAATATTGTTGTCATATGCATTTTATAATAATAATCATATGTACCGGTCAACGCGCCTGCACGTTTTGGCGACACCATCCTCACGCTCTCTCTCTCTCTCTCTCTATCTGTTTCCGTCTCCGCGGTCCAAGACGATGTGTTAGCGTGTGTGTGTATGTATGCGCGTCTGGTCCTTTTTCTTTTAAATTTATTTATAGAACCGAATCCCAGGGGCGTGTTATTAGAAGCAACATATGTAAGCAGTAAAAAATAAATAAAACTATAATAATAATAAAGATTTGAGACTCGATGTCGTTATGTTTTTTAATGTATAAGTCATAACAGTGTACTTATTTTTCGGGGCTCCGGGCCAAAATCCGACGGATTATCTGCAAATATTCGCGTCGTCTAAAAATAATTTCGGTTTACCGCGGCGGTTTCCACACGTTCATCGGCCATCCCAGTCGAAAATTCCAGAATCTCGTAATAGTAGTATAAAATATTATCGTGGTGTTTGTGTTTGTTATAGCGAACGGAATTCCATGTTAAATTACTCTCTTCGGATCTATAATATAGGCTATACACGCAAAAAACAACAATATTATATTATTAATAAGCAAAAAAAAAAAAAAGAAGACAATCTCATAAACGTACGTTTTTATTTAATGATAAAATATTTATTTTTTTTTAAAAAATACGATTTTTTGTACTTTCGATAACAAGTTGAATACAGAAAGAATTGTAAAACGCAAATAAAGTAGGTGTTTTTGTCATTATAATCGATTTTAAAGGTATTTTTGTTTATTTTATACGATACATTTTTTGGAAAATATTAAATATGCGAAAATCAACAAAATATGTAATTTTTCTCTAAAATTAACGAAATATGCAAAATATGTAATTTAAATGTTCAATTTTTAAACTCTCCATCGTATGGAAAATATTTCCAGCTTAGTCTACTATAAATTCAGTGCATACAGAAAAATATGCAACTCTTATAACTTCTGAGCCCTAGTTATTACTATTAGGTAATATTAAATTATTAAGTATTAATTAAGTACTATTCGATTAGAATTATCTGCGAAAACCTTAGAGTAGATTTTTGATTTCGGGATCCAACTAGGATGCGCCGAATTTTACATACCACCAGCACTAGTTCTTTCTGTATTATAGGTACATATAAGTTATTATATATATATTTAGTTTTATTATATTATCTGGTAAATATAATAACCGAAAACCTGTCAAATAGTAACGGAAAATATTGTATTTTTTTCTCCGCATCTGGTTTTACGATTATACGTGCGGTGGTATACTATACAGTATACTGTATATTATTAGTGTCGTATAAAGTCGATAAGAATAAAGCGTCCGTTGAAAACAGTCCAGAAGAACGGACGGAAGGGCGACATAAAAAAAAAAAAAAAAAAAAAAATGCGATAGTCGTAAAATCTTTTGTGAGAGGACCAATGAGAGGACTATATGAGACTCTTGCTATACCGAAGAGTCTCTCCTTTCCCTCTTATTATTATTATTATTATTATTATTATTACTGTCTAGGAGACGAACGGCGCATTTTTATGACCAAGCATTACTCTATACCTTAAAAGCGCGAGACATTTTACGATCCATCAACCCTCACCGTACAATGAAACGCAGCTCTCTCGCGAAAAAAAAAGAATAAAAGAGAAGTTTTTCGATTACTATCGCCCGAGCTCCTCTCGAGTTCTCGCGCGTCCTCTTATTCGCGTGTTCTTTTTTTTCTTTTCTTTTTCTTTCGAGTGGCGACAGGTCCGGATGGTGTAAGGATTTACAAGATTTAATAACGGCCGTACATATTTATTTTTACTCTAGAGCAAAAAGCACGCACTGCTTTATCGACAAACTACTATATTATATGGTACACTATATTTTTATATATACATATATACATGCATATAGTATGTCAAACTGTCACCGACAGTCTTGGAAAGGAAGTTCTGTAATTCACCAGATTTTGCTAGACAATTTTCAATATTTGTTAATTATATTGGTTTTTTTTATACCGTAAACATCATGCTGGTGCCCAACTTGATGCAAAACATCTTCATCATTTGCTAATATTTTTTTCCACGTAAAAATATCACCGTTGAAATTTACCAGATTTTTCTCGACTTACCGATCAAATTTATCTTGGTAAATTTTGAAAATCGCTCGTAGCGAATTCTCGGCAAAATATTCGTAAAATTTCAGAATTTGTTAAGCTGATGTCAGGCTGCTGCTGACTATTGACGTACGTGCTGTTTACTATACACTATACATATATTATACAGTCTCGATAACTCAAATTTTTTTTTTTCTGTCCCACGAAGCGTTTTTAAGTTGTATTTGAGGTATATAACTTGGAAAATACATAAGTATGTATTTATTGTTATATTCCCCTCGAGGTTCGAATTATCGAGACTCGACTGTACGTCTTTATAGTTTTAAGACAACAAATTATTGTACATAATAATAGTTTTTAACAATCATTTTTATCCACTTGCATGACAAAGTCATTTGACCGTCACGATGACAAGTTATAATATTTTATTTTATTAGGCCTCCGCGGCCACATAAACTCTGAAATATTGCTACCAATTTCACGTTAAGTTTTTCATCTGAGACATCGTATTTCATTTATTTTTATCGGCACTTCGTCGGCGTCCTATATTATAATATATTATTGTACCTATACACATGCTCACTGTACTCGCGTTGAAACTAAAATAAAACCGCTACTATAATATAATATACTAGTGTGTGATCACTTTGTGTACGTTTTTACGACCGAGTTGTAGTAGTGTTATTAATTTAATTTATTTCCCTTGTAAATGTCGTTGATGTCTCGGCACGTCCGAGACGTATATCGTACACGAAATATCTCGTTAAACGTTATTCCGTTAACGCGTATTTAATCCTGATGACATTCGTCGTTTGTGGCTTTCTTCTAACGGGGCGTTTTATCAAGGAAAACGAAACCGATTCTAAATTCCATTCAAATAGGCCAGACAATAATACACAGGGAATAAACACTTTCGCGTAAAAACAATATAATTTTTGTAGACGACAGCATTTTTCTAAGACAAATCTTGTTGGCGTACGTTTTATAATATTCTCTAAATATTCAATCGGATTATTTCGTTGTCTAAAGGACAACTGCGTTTCATACGGTGCACAACAGTTTCCGTTTACCAATACTAACATTATACAGCTACCATATAGTCGGTGTATAGAGGATGAAGAGCGTCTATTTTCGAAAATCCAGGAGGGGCAATGAATTATTTTTTATTGTATTTTTCAACGATATTGGCCTTATCGTTAAACGGTTCACTGTGTAACATGTAATAGGTACGAAAAAGCCCGGGTGCATACGTTATCCTCTTTGCCTTCTCTCCTCTCTCCACCTCCTCTCCAATGGTCGCCCGCGGACGTATACAGGTAAAACGTATAAAGAGCGTTTTTGGGATTTGATAATTTCAGCACCTTGTTTCAATTTATATATCCGTACGTAACGGTAAACCATTGCTAACAAAAAATAATTCTAAGCGGAGTTCGGTTAATAGTGTTGCTTTGTCAACAATATATAATATGTCATATTATGGTAAAACAATTGCATATGCATTATATATTTTCTTTAATATTAATAATCTATTTTGCCGTTTTTTACCATGTTTTTTTCATTCATTGGGAAAATCAATAAATGTCTTCTGTAAAGTACCTCCCTAGTCAGATTTCCTTTCAAAAAAAATGCTACGATTTGTTAATCGGAGCAAAATTACTGGTAAAATTTGTTTACACAGTATAAAAAAAATAAACGTCTTTGTAAAGCCAATACATTCTTCAATACACTCGGAATCTAAAAAAAAAAAAAAAAAAAAAAAAATAACAATAATTACAATAATCGTACGCAATTATTTATCGTAACGTGTAGCGCGCGCGCATATTACTGTATTGTTACGCGGGGAACGCCCGTGCACAGATGGTCCGCGACGGCGTTCGCGAGTAGCGTGGAGGGGCGGGCGGGGCGCGATTAATCTTGTTGAAATTCGTCGTGACCCCCCTCCCATTCCCCCAAAAGCGTGTGTCGCACTGCGAAAATCGCTCTCCGCACGTCTATTTATTATTATTGTTGTTATTATTATATTGTTATTATTATTATTATTATTATTATACCCACATGTCTACATAAATATTGTTATCTACCTATACCTATACCTCCCGTGTAGCGTGAATACGACCGGGCGACGTGTGTGAGAGAGTTGTCGCGCTCGCCCCTTACGCCAACTGTATGCTATGTAAATTATACGGTGTTGTTGTTTGGCGTGCAGTTATTAATCGAAATCGGGGGTTTTTTTTTTTTTTTGTTTTTTTTTTTGTTCCATGTTCGCGCCCGGCAGACGCGTCATCGAGAAAATCGATCAGTCCGAGTTCGAGGGTTTCGAATACGTGAACCCGTTGCTGATGTCGCAGGAGGACAACGTGTGACACGAGGAGGACTGCGGCGATTACGCCGCGCTCCGTCATCATCAGCTAGCGCAGCAGCACCGCCAACACCAACAACTACAAGAACAACAACAGTACCATCACGAAGCCGACTGTCCTTGTTCGGCGACCATCGACTCGCCCCCGGACAACGGACGGCCGCCGTCCAGAGGATGGTTTTGCTTGCCTCTAAGATAAAACGAAAAATCATTTCCCGCAGACGTAAAAAAAAAAAAAAAGAAATAAATTTTATTAAGTTAAGAATATTGCGAAAGGAATAACAAAATATTATTATTATTATTATTATTATTATTATTATTATACCTATCGGATAAGCCTCGGACACCGTCGTCCGTACGGTGGCCATAATTATTTTCCGTTTCGTTTTTATTATTAATTTTTTTTTTTTTTTTTTGTATAGTTTTTCGTGCCGTCAACGACGACTCTACCGAAAGCTCAACTTATTTTAGACATTTTCGTATTCTTATTTTTTCGATTTTAAACAAAAACAGATTAATAAATGTGTAAAATGTAATATATATTTACTTAATATATGTATAGATACACACACGTTCCTCGACTCGTGTAGAATTTGTAGTATTGTAACGAGGTAAAAAAAAAAACGATAGTTTCACTCGTTCGTCGTACTTTTAATGATGATAATATTATTATTATTATTAATATTGTACGTACTACGGCGATAATAACGCTGTCGAAATAAATACTATATCGATAGAAAAAAAACAATAGTGATAATCGTTTAACACGGGCCCGCGGACGATAAAAAACAAAAATGAACGCCGGTGTCTGGATCGACCGCGTATCTTTTGCGCGCACATCACAATATCGTCGCGACGCATCCGCGCGTACTAAACATTTTACAGTAGTACGATTAAAAATAATTTCGATCGTTTCTAACGTTTATTCAAAATATCGATTCGTCGGAAATATTTACTCTATAATAATAAAAAAAAAAAAAAAAAAAAAAAAAAAAAAATGTACTCTATTTATTATTATTATACTCGTAATTTATAATTCTGCGTCGTCATTTTACTTAACGAGAACGAGAAATATTGAAAAACCCACTGACGATCCACGTGTGCCTTATAATGTTAAACCCGTCGTAAATATTTTAATTTTTATGTAAAATTAGATTTAAAAAAAAAAAAAAAAAAAAAAAAAAAACCGTAATAATCAATAATATTGTAATAACGTGTGCGTGTTCCCCGTCTGTCTCGTCCCTTTTTTCGTTGCCATTAAAAAACCGTAAACGTAATCGTATTCGCGGTCTTCAAATTTAATAACGTCGGTGAAAATAATCCTCCGGACCGCCGTATCCGGGAGAAAAATAACGACGGACGGGACCGCCCGGGTGGTTTCGGTAATTTTTTTTTTTTTTTGGGTACGCGACGCATCGTCGTCGCGGCGTGCGTATATTTTATGCAAATATCAACGGGTATTCCACGGCTCAATAATTAATAATAATACTGATGTTTAGACGGACTGTATATTATTTACACTGATAATACAAAAAATGCAAATTACACATTCCTCGTTGTAATTCAAATAAATTACAACACGATATTGTTACAATAATATTATTGTATAAATATAAATAATAATAATGACGATAATATTTTACGGATAATTATATTACTTATATTAATTCATAGGCATCGCACTCACGTAATTTATATAATTATTATAATATACGTATTATATTTGTTACGGTATTATTGTAATAACGCACGAGAAATTATTATTCTACTCATTTAGCGTGTAATAATAATAATTATTATTATTATATTTTATTTTATTATATTATATTATGTACTTTTTTTACGTTCTCATAAAAACGATCGTAACATTATTATTATTATTATTATTACCTTTTACTTTTGTATTTCTATTAAATTTTATTTATTTTACACGATTATATAGTATTATTTTAAAAAACAAAAAAAAAACTATTTTTACTCGACTTTTTCCGGCCAAGTGTCAGCTCTATGTAGTGATTTTTTATCGTATTATTATTATTATTATTATTATTATTATTATTACATACCTATCATATTATGTAATTATTACGACGGACTGCCGTTCGGCGACCATAAATTAAATGATATGAAAAATAATATTTAGTAGATCTGTACCTATTTTTATTATACTCTCACACACTTTTGTTGGTTTGTTGGTATTATTTCAAAAAATATTGTTCGCACGTTATCGGTTATATTATAATGTTATTAATATTGTGAACATTACTATATTATTATGTTATAATTATTATTACATTCGGTACTTTCTTCATATTGAAAATTATTATACAATAATAGATTGACTCACTCACATATTGTCAATCGATATTTTCTATCGATATTAAACAAAAATATTGTGATTATTAATTAATTATACATACATATAGATTATATTATATTATAAAAAATCATAAAATACTTGTATTCAATTAGTAGTATTATTATTATTATTATTATTTTTATTATAGTTTATTAAACTATTTACATAATTATTATTATCTAAGACTTATATAAAGAGTTATATTACAATGAGGTTGCTATCTAATATTATTATATTTATATATACAAGTGTATATCTTTAGAGAAAAACAATTATACAACTTATTATTTTTTTCAATATTATTATATTTTGTTACCCTTCTCATCAAACAGCACAGAGGTAATGGTGGCCGGCAAACGCCCCAACAAGAGCTCTGGAACCGTTTTCTCCTTGTCGATTTTGCTTTTTTTCTCACGTTTTTTCAAATTGCTTCATAGCCCCCACTCATATTGACGCGAGTAATACAGTGAAGCACTAACTATATTATGTTGATGTTATTATTGCTATACAAACTGGACACTTGCAAATGGACTTTGTGGCCGTGATCCTTCTCAGGTAACCGGTGTGCACCTCTATAATAATATAATATGTATTTTCAGCAATGTTCATTGCTGTGAAATTAATTGAACGTTTGATTAATGAGATCCATTTCTGATTTTAAAACTTAATTTACATTTATTTAACATAAAAATGTTAAAAACTTTAAAATCATAATCTTATACAATAAGAAAAAAAAAACATATATTTTAACAGAAAAACTGAAGTCCTCTTGTACAAGGAATTCAAAAGCCTCCAGTTGTTGCATTGCGGACACGTGGTAGACGTGGGACGACTCTTATCCACAGCCTAATAGTTGCTCGATCGCAAATCAACGACCGATGACTTGTGATGCTTTTTTGCTATTAATTTTCAATTGAGAATTTCGCTTACTATCACGTCAAATGTATGTTATCTACCAGCGATGAAGTTAGAATTTTTCAATAGAGGGGACCTAAAAAAAAAACAAATCATGCATGTTTATTTCTTTTGCATTTAAAAATATTCAATATTTACTCAATCAATAAAATATAGAAATTAATGTAAATGTAAAGTAACAACACATGATAACACATTATAACAAAAATATTTAAAAAAAACTACTGTCAATGATTAGGGCCATGGCTCCCGTGGACCTCTCGCTACGCCACTGTTATATACGTAACTTAAGGGTGACCTCTACACCAACCCTTCTAAATTCTCCTGGTATCGATTTTCAATTTTTATCTTAAAATTTAATTTTGATCTTGTAAATTGTTTTAATAATCGAAATAATATATAAACAATAATAATATGGTTTTGATGGTTTAACTTAAAATTCTTATTTATTTAAATAAAAAAATACATGATATTGCCACTGTTGTAGGAGGAAAGTTGGTGGAGGTGAGACACATTAAGCTGTTTATTTCATATTCGTAGAAGCAACGATAAAACATTGCAAACTAAATACATAGCATAGTTCAGTTATGCATTTATTTATTAATTTAAAGGCAAAACGAGCAATTTTGTACAAGATGACCTTAAAGTTAACTAGGACTAAGTGTGAGAGGGGACAGCAGTGGTTTAACTTAAATCTATGGGAAATGATAGAAAAATCCCGAACTAAACAGTATTGAGTTAACGTAAAACACGGTGGAGAGGATTATTAAACCCACAAGATGTGTGGTGTTGCAAATGGAACAGGAAGTTTGTCTTGTTCTGATGGAGTGTAGGCGGAGGCCTGGAAAGAGATGGTTGACGTGATCTGGAGCGTCGATAGCGATAGCGCCATCAAGAAGAGAGGTGGCGAAGGCGATATCAATTTTAAAGGCAGAGCGGATAATAGCATAGTCGTGCAGGGGACGCTCAATTTTTAGCCGGTAAACAGCACACGAGAGAAACTTATTCTTATTTTTTCTACGGTTTTCCTGCGTTTTTTCCCAATCGCTAAGAAAACTACGCATACATAATGTAATCGTTAACGCCGTAAAGAAAAAAAAAAAATCTCCCGAAAAAATGGTGGGTAGTTATTGTTTTCACTGTGTATCTGTATACTTATATTTCACTGACCGCGGAAAAAAACGTTTTTGTCTCTCCGAAACACTCGATTGCTGCGGTCTTTCATAGGTACTGAACATTATTATGCTTGTAATATGCAACTCGAATGAGGAACGGCATAGAGTATACAAAATAAAAGCGCAAGGACGTTAAGTTAGTTATGGGTTAGCTGGTAACGACTACCCCGCGTGTGCAGTAATAAAACCACCGAACAAAACAGAGGGGGGGGGAAATAATAATAGCTAAACATTTTTCTGAAACACAATTTCCACCGGTTCGTGCAGCACCCGATATAGTACAAAGGTAGGACTCGCGATACGCCAGTTTTCACGCGGAAAAGACGCGTTTACGACCAATAAACATCAAGGCGAAAACGTAATTTACGGCGCGAGGGAACCCTGTATTTTATAACGTATTGTACGTGTATACACCGTGCGTGTACAACGACGACCACGACGGCCGTATACCGGAGGTGTGCGTGTGTGCGTGTGTGTATATACACTGAGAAATGAGAATAATGAGATGTTGTATCAGTTGTGTAGGTAGCCTAACCTGTGTAATATCGCTGTCTTTCCTTGTACATAATCGCACTTCTCAACACCATAGTCACTATTATGGCCGTAGATAGTAGTAAAAACGAAAGAGCGCGTTTTATATTTATATTTTCCCCGTCCTGTATATTATATTATAGCGCGTAAGTCGTAATTTTCTTCCGTTCTACGTCGCATTGTCATCATTTCGTGTTGTTTTTTTTTTTTTCCCGGTTTATTTTGTTTCATACGGCCGGCGTCGGCCTGGCTCGCCGTTTAAGGGCCCCCCAAACATATTTCGTTTTCAGGGGTCCTATAGACGAAAGTTAGAAATAAAAAAAAGCCGTGCAAACCAACGCGATTTAATCGGTCGATCGCGTATTTCAAATTATTATAATATTTTGTAATTCGTACAACTGTCACCAACGAAAGTTACTCGATACATTAAAATTTAATACTACGAAACATTAACTTTTCCCGGAGATCTTGCCACTACAATTTAAATTATTTGAAATTTTCGATTTATTTGGACAATAATTTTTTTCGTTCTGTATGAAAAAATACATTCATCATTACTCTAAGCAAATCACTTGAAAATAAAACAACTAACAATAAGTGATATAATAATATAGTGATATTGTTAATTTTATTTCGAGTTTTATATTAAACCGGGCGCAAATGCCCATATCCTCCCTCCCTTTAACATATTCCTGGGATGTCACCGAATTATAATCAATTTCGACAGGGTTTTTAAAACAATAATATCAGTTATGTTATAAAATAATGAAATAGTTTTTATTCGAAATTTTAATATTAAATATAATCTTGTTCGGAATGGATAATTAAGTATTAATAACGAAAACCAAATTTAAATATACGTTTTTGTTGTTCGTAAAGTTGTATCTGTATTTTATTGAGGATGGGGCGAAATGATAGGTTCGTTCCCCTATGCCCGTCTCTGCTCCGGCGCTATTGTGACCGGTATAGCACAGGCCAAAGAACAAAGATTAGCGTAATGTGTTACAATTTTCGTTGGTTTTTTTTTTTTTTTATATATAATATCGTTTCACGTTAGAAACAATTTGCATGCGACGGTAATGTGTGTGCAAGACAAAAGTATACTTACTATGGTAATTTTAAGGTTGTTCACAAGGCACCATCTTCGACATCTGATACTCGGACATCGTGAAAACCGACAAAAACTATATGTAATTTATTTGCCATTTTTTTTTTTCTGTTCCTCGAAGGACACAACAACGACGACGACAAGTCGTTTTCGTCCTACGAATTATGTTCGAGTGCAATTCAGTGCGTTGAACGGGTTTTTCGATCAATATATTCACCACCATCTCGGGGAATATTTTAAATGTATTCCAGTGTCCGGCATAATACATTCGAACTATCTTATTCACTATTGGTGATTTATAATAATATATAGGTATTGGATTATTTTATATTCTGAGCACATCGAGGAATGTAATTCATTTTACTATAATGCGCACAATTTTTGTTCGTCTCTGCAAACAACTTTTCTATCGGAAATCTTGTTCTAATCAAGAAACGACAAGAAATCTTGTTTCTAGAATTTTGAATCTAGTTGCTGTATTAGAGAGGTTTTATTTTTATTTTTCTTACACATAGTTTACTAAATAACCGGGAAAAAAACGTAAAAAAAAACAGGATTATATACGAAAATAACGATTTATTCATTATTGATTTGTCTTTTTGATGTACTTCGGTTAAAAATAATCGTAGAGATCTGAGATTTTCGAAAAATACTTACATTAGTACTTTCTAGACGTGGTATTACATTGTGACGATTTTTGAGCTATTTATTGACAATCACGGACTTTAAAATTTTTTAGATTTTATTTCGTTTTATGTGAATAAAACTGTTTTGGCTATTTAAAAATACTTAACGATTTTACACGAGGTTTATCTCAAGTTGTACCGAGTCGTCAAAGGAAAAAAAAGTCAAACGTAAGGTTTTTTGTTTTTAATTTTTGGCGTTCCTTGTAGTCTTTGTACATGTTTAATAAAACTCACTTTTTCTTAAATGAAAACACCTATTTTAACACAATATTTGATTATTTTCAAGCAATTTTACTTATAAAATTATTTTTAATCTCAAAAATCGTCTGAGATAGAGCAAAATAAAGTTTATTAAGCAATATGATTTTTTAACAATTTTCAAAAAAGAAATGTTACAAATGTATAATATGTATAACTATATGTATATATAGGTTTTGTGTTTATTTTAACTTATTATTTATTCATTAAACATGAAGGTCAAATATTTTTACTTTTAATTTTTAGTTGTTTTAAATTATTTTAAATATCAAGAAAAATCACATTTTTTTTTATTAAATTGAAGAATGATGAATGTCGCCGAAAAATTGTTGGGATAAATCGTATAAGTAAAAATCGCTTGAAAATACTTAGATATAATAGGAGTATTTGAATTAGGTTTTAAAAATAATAGGTTTACAAATTTTAAAAATAGATTCAAAATGTTTATTTTAGTGTTTTCAATCGATCTCAAAAAAAAAAAAAATAAAAATAAAAATAATAATTAAATTTTAATCCAAACCAATCTGGCTACGACATCCGTGTATCATTCGAGTGAAATTCACTGTTTTTAGGTAACATTTCAGAAAGTATCAGAGATTTTTGTAGATTATTTCGATAGATAATGCCTATATTGCATACCAATTACCTATATGTATATATATATTGTTATATTAAAATATGCAAAACGATTTTTTTTTCCGTTTAAACCGTACAATTTAAATACCAGTACGCAACGTTAAAACCTGATGCTGCGCGTATGTATAAGCACAACATTCTTATTATTTATAGAATATATTGTTTACTCGATACATCAATAATAAATGTTCTCTCTAAACTGTAGGTTTTTTTTTTTTTTTTTTTTTTTTTTAACAATAATATGCATTATTCAAAAGTAGGTAGGTATTCACATATTATACCTATTGTAAAAACAAGTTATAAAACAAAAAGAGCGTTTGAATTTCAAAACATTCGAAAATTTCAGGAATTCTTAAAAATTATATATATATATATATATATATATATATATGTATAGGTAGAATATAGATATTACACAATATATTTTATACTTGTCTAAATATATATGAATACAGCTACGCAGCTCTAGAATACAATAAGTAAACGAAACAATATAAGGATATTATTCATGTGTAGGACACTGTTTTGGATGGGAAGATACGATGTATGGGTACGTTTTTAAGCGAAGTTCGTTTAATCGTGTTCTGATAAACTCGAATTAAAAGTTTTATTAATTCGTGAGAACAAAAAAAAAATTAAAAAATCTAGAAAATTACCATAATGTTTTAGAAAATGTATTCACAGACATAAAAACAAATTTTTAATAAATCATGCATTATAGTAGTAGGTAATATAATAGTAAATAATTTTTAAAATGTACTTACAAAGCGTGCTCAGCTTTTTCTTATGGTAGGAGATGCTAATATTGATAATTATATTCAATGGCGTAAAGTGGCCTAAATTTCTGGTGGTGCAGAGAAATCTTTTAATTTTTAACCCACCAATACTCTAACCTTCTTTGTAAATTACCAAACCTAATAAGCAATTTATTTTTCTATAGGTACCAAATTTTTTTTATAAAATTATATATTATAATTATTGAATTTATTTTAATAGTAAAAACTTTATGACTATAACATTTAAAGAAAAACTATAGACACATTTGTTTTATAAAATAAAATAGACTTTTGAAAATAAAAACAATAGGTACACATATTTTTATGATTTTCTGGTGGTGTAAAAATATAAACTTGCATCACCACATTCCAAATGTGGTGATTCAACTACTATATTTGCAGCACCCAATACGCCAGTGATTATATTGATAGTCTTATATACAATAAATCAGTGGTTTTTAACCTTTTTGGGTCCATGGCTGTTTTTATTTTGAAATCCAAATTAGCGGCTCCTTTACGAAAAATGATAATAATATAAATATATATTCTGTATTGCTTTTTCATATTTGCGGTAACTGGTAAAAATATCCGGATCTATAATATCCGAGAAAAAAAAAACACCAAGGAAATAATATCAAAGTATAAATGTATAATAATTAATAATTAATCATGTTGTTATTCATACATACATTATACATATCCATATACGTTCAAAGTGATTCTTGACTGCTCAGTTGCATTTTTAGTTTACAATACAATATTTAAAATCACATCCTCAGTGAAAATATCAAAATATTAAAACAATATCCATATATTTATATATGTATACGAAAAACAACATGATTATTTATTAATTACCTGTTATACACTGAAACTTTAATATTTTTTTCTCGTAAATATTTTCCACCTTTATATTTTTTCCTCGGATATTATAGATCCGGATATTTTTATTTAGATTCAGACGCTGCTCCCTCGATACTGACCCACGACGCCCCTGGGAGTTGCGACACACAGGTTGAAAATTACGGTAATAAATGCATTTTTAATTATTTTAGGCGTTATTAGGCCTATAATTAAGAGAGTTTTTCAAAAATTTATTTTCACTATACAATATTAAATATTGTGTTACTATTTAAATAATTAAACTTATAATTACAAAACTTATAGTACAAATTCAAGTTTTCTTGGGGGTTTTGGATGGTTCATTTTTAATTTTATCTGATGTAACATTATACCATCTTTGTGGACAATCAATAAACAACATTTAATTGGCAGCCTACATTTCATACATTTTTCCGTTTTTCCTACGGTTTTCTCGGTTTTCCAAACTCTTAAAAAATCAAAAAGTTACCTCCTTAAAGTTCCTTTACAATCAGATTTCCTCCCAGAAAAAGTGCTATCGTTGTAAATCGGGACAAAATTGCTGGTACAAAAGCTGTCCACAGAAAAAATAAACATTGTAAAACCAATATATTCCTCACTCAGTACATATTATTGAATTCCGTTTGCGAATATGAAACTATATCAGAAACCCTGGCTAGAATCAGACAGGGTTTGGAATGAACGTGCATCGGGCGCACCGATGTTTTATATATTATTTTTACACAATATTATTCGTGTTATATTATAGTGATGGACACTTTCGAATGGTTAATACTGTCGATAGTTTTCAATAGTCCATCTAGACTATCGAATAATTTGTTCACGACCAAAAACTTTTATTCGGAAAAGTTATTTGAATAGATTATCTACAACCGAATAATTGTAAACTATTCGAACAGTTCGAACGCGTTCAACTATATATAATATATATACACGCCATATACGAAATATATATAATATATATAATTCGTATATGGCGTTTGAACAGCACCAAAAAAAAAAAAATTTATATATTTGTAGTAATGGTTATTTATAATAAAAGATATAACATTCATAAAAGTGCGAAGAGTCAAAACAGATAAAAGTTATAATAAATGAAAAAAAATATAAAATTAATATCAATGCCGTAAAATCTTTATTTTACGACATTGATAGTTAAAACATACAATATTTCTTTAATAATTTTAAAATATTTTCCGATATATGGTGAGTGTAGGTGTCATGTTACAACTTCAAATCCGGGTTCTTTATCCATTCCACCACCGCCTTTTCCCTCGCCAAGCGGATATCTTCCATGGTGCATTTAAACGCACGGATCGGATATTCAGTGGCGATGTGGGATTCATGGCCACAATGACATGTTCACACGTACGTCAACTATATAGCGTAAATAGAATAGTGAGGATAGTTCGGTAGTGTCCATCGTTAGTAGCCGGCGTACGAACGCAAATACCAATTACCTATTCGCCGACATGAACGTTCGTTTTGTATGTGTCGTACAGACGTATGAAATACGTACACACCGGCAATAATTATACGGTATCGACACAATGCATGTAATAATATACGGCCACCCCAAAGTATCGATAGTACGCGCGTGTAAAGCGCAACGGGCATGATTTATTGGGCTCGGCACAAACGTAAAAATTACCAACACGTCATTATTATACATATTATAATGTATTAATGTATGCACTTCCGGCGGCGTTATTGAGCGCACACATTGCAGATTATCGTCCGCAGATAATGCGTACAACACAATACACACGGGTGTAATTTATGCGGGCATATATTATTATTGTACACTTGTACGCGTACGGTGCAGTACACCGAAAACACCGTCGGCCTAACCCGACCGCGCTGCGACGGCATTGGCGAGCTGACGGTTTTCGAGTTACCGAATCGGCTCCGCTGTATGCATTTTAATCGCATTAAACCCACGACTACGGCATACCTACCTACCTACCTGTCGTCGGTTATTTATGATTTTTGTACGTTATTGTTCACTTCATACGAGTATTGTGTAATACCGTACCTTTAATATTCGCCCGTGCACCTCGATCTAACCCGGTGAGCGGCAATAGATTGCGATTTCGACCGTATTGTGTCCCGTTCAATGGTGTTATTGAATGGGCCGATGAGTGGATCGCTCTCCCTTCCCATACATTTTTTTCTGATGGTTTTACAAAGTTGTTTAATTTTTTTTTTTTTTTACCTGTGCGCAACTTTTCCACCAGAAATCTTACTCCGATTTTCAAGTGTAGCGCCTTTCCTGATAGGAAATCTAACTGGGGAGATACTTAAAGCAGGTCATTTTTCGATTTTTTCAAGAGTTTTCCCAGCAAATGTGAAAAATCGGAAACCCGGGAAAATCGGTACAACATTAAACAAATATTATTAAAAAATATATATAATACCTATTTGATTATTTTACCATAATGTGACATAATATATAGATATTGTTGACAAAGCATCACCATCAACTGAACTCTGCTCAGAATCGTTTTTTCACAAGCAATGGTTTATCGTTGCTTACAGTTGTACATTAAATTACCTATAGAAATGGCTACACCCATCTTCATTATCCTAGGACAGCTTTTTTAGCTATGGCGTTTCCATCACAGATAATATGCGCCATTATTTTCTATACTATATATGGTTTTCATAGATAATTTTTTATTTATAGACACAATGATAGTTACTTTGGTAAACCATCGACTTATGATAGCATCGTCATAAAATAGCAATTACGGTGTATTTGTTTTTCCATGGTTCAGGATGTGCTGTGGAATACGCAATGCGTTTCCATTTGGCTACGCCTACTATTAGCAGGTATTAAATAGCGGTGATCCGCAACCACGGGAACAGTGGACGAGTGTCACATTACGGCGAAATTATTGGCAGCTTGTTATCACTGCCATCATATAATCCTTGTATCATTTATGATGCATACCATGTATGTAACGGATAGAATGCGAAAAACGGATATAGTGTATTCATTATCCGAGTAAGATGAACACCATCCATCCTTGTTGGATAAAGTGAACATTTTAAAAACGTTTGTTTCGTAAACTACCCGGGTAATTAGTACATTATCTGTGGATGAATGGGCAAAGCATATTATCTTCTTGATACCTTCACCTGTGGCCTGAAGTGGTAAAAACAAATGCATGTGGGGGGGGGGGGCAAGAGACATAATTTTTGATACCAGAGTAATATGAACACTGCCAGGTTCTGTATCTTACCCGTAACTACCGGTATCTACTCCAAGAAACACGCAATAAAACCAATAGACACTACGACAGGAGGGCGATAGGAGTGATCCCTCCCCCCGGTCACTCTCCAATATACTACTCTTGATTCATCATTGAGCTTGTCATAAATGCGTGTCTTATATGTACTTCAAAAATCGTCCCTCCACCCAGTTATCTTGTTCCAGATCCGCCCCTGCGCTACGAAGACGCTCGACGGTCAGAATCTAAAATCACGTACCTAAATAATTATTAATAAAAAGTCATCGTCGAATATATACTTTGAAAACAGTGAAAAAACGTAATACATTTCATAAAATTCTCACAGATGCCGACAACGTTCTTATATATACATAGGCCTCCTGTCGGCACATATGTACGATTGTTACAGTATTCGAAAAAAAAATAATAATATTGTTCTCATCGTAATTTTACAATGTTATTTATTACACCCGAGACGTTGATTACTGTTATTATTTATATATGTAATTATACTTATTAAGACGGATCATCGGCACAGGTTACGTCTCCGAGGAAAATAGTGGGAGAGGTGGAAATCAATTCGCCCTCCAATCCCCCACCCCCTACTCGCCGGTTTTCGAATTTTCGTTTGTATTCTATCGTGTTATTATGAAATAACACACGCACGCACCACATTCGCGTGTCGGGGGGAACTTTTGGCATCGTTTTGACGTACGGGCGCGAGACTATAGGGCAAACGATGCACCGATGACACAACACCGAAGATGACGCCATCATCAACGAGAACATAATATTAAGGCGACGTCGCGATCCATCCCGTCCTTTTAATCCTCGGTTTTCACGAACGCGACAGCTGCTGTAAATATGAGCGAAATATTATACGCGTGTGCCTGTGTCCCGCTGCCCATAAATCAAAAACCGCACGGCGCGGAGCGCAGAACTACGGAAATTCGAAAAAAAAAACAAAATCGCACATCTCTTTGTTTTTATTTTGTTGTTTTTTTTTTTTTTACGCTGGTTTTCGAACATTCTCAGGAATACGATAATGATAATTCGAAAACTATATACACGCGCAATATTATTTATTCATACAAAATATATCGCCCCACACGTGCTGAAAATAAAATGTTAATACGATTCGAATATACAATAATAAATAAAAACGCGCGCCACATAATAATAATACGCGAATGCCGCTGCTGCACCGCGTGTACGATTCGGTTTTTTTCAAGGATAACGAGTGTGTTCGCGTGTAGATATAATATATTGTATTCTCTATTTTTTTTTTTTTTTTTTAAGTAAAATTTGTGGGAAACGAGTTGTGAAAAAAAAATAATATATAGGTATGCAAGTATATTGTGTACGAAAGGAAATCGTGATTTATATTATAGGAACGTCATTGGCTCGGCAAACATGTCGGCGACGACAACGGTGCATTCGTTATATTATTATTTATATAGATACGCGGTTTGTATATAATAATAATAATAATATAAATATTATGTGCTATGCGCGCGATACTTCTATATAGAGGTGGACCTCCGCGAGGTTAGGACGCATCGGCTCATTAAAACGACATTGCAAAAAAATAAAAATAAAATAAAATACGCACACTTACGCTGTATACATACTAAAATTATAAGGAAAAAAAATGATTTCGCGTGTGTCTGTGTACATAAGTAGTTGCAAGTATGCGGCATGTGCATGTGGGCGAACAACAATGGTATATGAGAAAAAAATTATGATACATAAGCCGAGGAACTGGACAATGCACCCGCGCGCGCTTTACATGAAAATATTATTTTTCGCGATAGAATCGACGATGGCGATCGACCGACTATTGTACATTTCATCATATTATTACTGTATATTATACTCAAACGTTGCCGCCACTGCTGCTGCACACTCTGTATAATTGTATAATCTAGTGCAGTATAGACTTCTGCTGAGCACCAAATCCCGATCGATCCGAGTGTGGATTTCCGATCCGGATTGGATCCGAGAATCCGGATTCAAAATGGAGAAATAGCTAAAAGAGTCGATTTTGTAAAGTTTTCAATACCTACATACGAACAAATTGCACATTTTTGAACATTGGTAAATGACATATTATAACTACTACAAATGGCCTAACTTAAATTACCGTTCTGAATGGGTCAAGTCGTACGGTATTATAGTGTAATTATATGACTTATACTCCTTTTTATCAAACAAAAAATAGGGACGGGAGTTTCTTTATAGTGACGATGTATATTTTAGTCGATTTAGACTTAAATGCCAGATGAAATTTTATGGAATATTATGGTATTTGGAAAACAGATTATGATTCGCTTTTAGGTTCTTTACTATAGGATATATTATATATATTTAACATACAAACTAAAAAACTAGAAAATGTCAATTATCAATCGATTGTCCTGATCTTGAGGTTTATTTATTTATATCAACAAGTAATTGTAAGTAATAGTTACGAAGAGTATGAGTTAAAATTTTGTGTTTGTAAATGTTCAACATCGAGATGTTCGAATGTGTATTTTGTCACTCCGTTAGTTACCACCTCCCGAAATAATGAGTTGCTAGAGAAACTGTCGTTGCTTAGTTTTCTGCACACATCCATTCACAACGAGAATTTGTTAAATTATTATATTTGTATATATGTATTTTTTTGTTATTTACTCACATTTTTTTTTTTGACCCTCAGACATAAGATAATATATTAATGCCAAAATTTGAATTTTTTTGCTTGTGGTATTTAGTTTGATATTTTTATAGATTCCTAACGAAATATCTAAAAAATTTAAAACAATTGACAACAAATCACAATAAATCAGTTTTCATTTGTTATCTTTCTATTGGTTATGTTGATCATACGATAAAAAACACAACAAACACCTTAACAGATTATCGAGCTCCCCACAAAATCGAGGCGCGAATCAGTAATAACCATGAATCCAGAGGCTTAATTGAAGAGCTAAAATTCATGATGAAAATCAAATTAACAGAATATTGGGCATCTTTTGGAGGGGGCCTTATAACCTCAAATTTGTTTGATACATTCTCTTCTAATTAGGTTAAATGATCCATCTATTTATTTATTACCTATATATGACTTATTGTTTTCATCGTGATTTCACGCCACACAATTACTAGTCATAACTACGGTATACCTAATAAATTGATAAAAGGTAGACACGTATTTATACATTTGAATATAAAATATTAGTTAAACAATTAAAACTGTTAACATTTGTATCATTATTCAATAATAATAATATAATTACATAATATACCTAAAGCCTGCCTAAAAGTATGCATAGCCGGAACAAAAAACTGAAACAACGCCACTGGACGAATTTAATGGCACTTTTCGTACCTATGTCACACATATTATACTTATACAATATATTTATTACATTATTATTGTAACGGATTTTTTACACGTGACGCATATTACCTATACCTACTGTACAAGAACAAACCGTATTTCAAGTAATTCTATATAGATAAGATGATAACTAATAATTAGTACTAAACAATTTAATCGTTTGCAAACAAATGGCGGGTTTTTATAATCTATATTATAATATTGGTAATAACCAATATTATAATACGCACTCGTGATATACGTAAACACGTAATCACAATATGTGCACAACAAATAAGTATAATGCGTGTATGTATAGACTTCGGCACTCTACATGCTACGAGACGAGATTACAAGAGTTTTATAATCACAAAAAAATACATTGAACGCTTTTAATTTTTTTTTTTTTTTCTATTTTTTTATCAGGTACAACAAACAAATTATTAAATAAAAGAAATACTACTATAATAGTTTGTATATATACTGCCCTCCTAAGCAAAAACGCCGAAAGTCCAAAAAAATTGAAAAATGAATTATATACATCAAAAAAATCGTAAAATTCAAACGTTTTAGGTCAATATGCCGTATGTTTGAAATAATATTTAATAAAACGAATATTAGTAATATTGGTTTTGACAAAATACCGTAAATGGTCGAAAAATGCATTTTTACTAGGTAAAAACGCCGTATAATTACCATGCTAAGCAAAAACGTCGTATATATTAATAAACATACGGCATATTTGCTTAGTAGGTATATAATAAAAATAATAATTTCCGGTGTTTATATTTAATGCAGATTGCGGTTTTACTTATAGTAATATTGTAACGAATTAATCATCAAAATATAATAAAAGTTAATATAATAATATAGAAATTTTATAAATTATACAATATAAGTTAATTATTATTATTTATACGATTACCCATGGATTCTATTCACGAGTCTATTCAGGGCAGTTCTATATACCAATTATACTAAGGATCAATGTAAAAAGTTAAGTAAGTACTTCAGAATTTATTTATTTTCATTCTATTGCATTCATTAGGTAAAATACCATATGAAATCCATATCATACTTTGATAAATAAAACTTAAGAGATGTTATGAATTTTAGAAAATCTAAAACATAAAAATCAGGTTTTCTCAAAAACGTTGTCTAATGATTTACGGCGTGTTTGCTTATGCGGGCAGTATAGGCAATTATTATAATAATATAGAATTCCGTGAGGTGATTTTTTTTTCAAACATTAATGTTTTTTATTTTCTTCAAACGATGTTACAATCTATGCATAACAAATTTTCCAAATGTATATGTTTATATCGGTCGAGAGAAGGAGTAGAACAATGTACAACGTGAATACATTTACCCTTAAAATCGTAACATAATATGTAATTTCGATGACCCTGTATAGTAGATATCGCATTTAATTTATTAACATAACAATTAACAATAATATACTTTAACATGTTGAGGTATATAACATATTTTACATGAATTAAATATCGATATATTTTTACATTTATTATTGCTGTTTAAAATAAAGTATTGAAAAAGGACGGACATACTTTGCACGTAAGTGCAGCCATTTTTGCAGGTGGGGAGTTGGAAAGGTAAGGCACAGAAGAAAAATTTAATGTATATCTGTAAGCAATGATAAACCATTGCTGACGAAAAAACGATTCTGAGCGGAGTTTAGTTAATAGTGTTGCTTTGTTAACAATACAATATATGGTATATGTCAAGTTAAAGTAAAATAAGTATTCTTATGCCAATGGCCATAGTCGCCGAGGTTTAAAATAAAAAAAAAGAATAAAAAAAAAAAAAGTAAAATAATTAAATAGGCTTTATATATTTTCTTTAATAATATTTCTTTCATGTTGTATCGATTTTTCCAGTTTCCCTACGTTTTTCTCGGTTTTCCCATGTTTTATCCCGGATTTTCACATTTGCTGGGAAAATTCTTAGGGATTTCGAAAAATTACTTCCCTAAAGTACCTCCCCACGGCGATTTCCTTTCAGAAAAAGTGTAGAAAAGTATAGTGTGGTAGAAAAGTTGCGCTCAAATAATAAATAAAAAAAAACATCTTTGTATATCTATAAGCTTCTTAGCTACACTCAGAATCTAAAAACTTAATAATAATAAAAAAATAAATAAAAACGGTTGCTAATGACCTTTATTTTTAATCCTTCAATCTTTTGTAACCTAAAGACCAAGGTTTTCTCCATTATCATCTCGACTATTAATGATAA